TTCCACTATTAGAACACAGGATTTAAGTTTTCCACTATTAGAACACGGGATTCAAGTCTTCCACTATTAGAACACGGTATTCAAGTCTTCCACTATTAGAACATGGGATTCAAGTTTTCCACTATTAGAACACGGGATTTAAGTCTTCCACTATTAGAACATGGGATTCAAGTTTTCCACTATTAGAACACGGGATTTAAGTCTTCCACTATTAGAACATGGGATTCACGTTTTCCACTATTAGAACACAGGATTCAAGTCTTCCACTATTAGAACACAGGATTCAAGTCTTCCACTATTAGAACACGGGATTTAAGTCTTCCACTATTAGAACACAGGATTCAAGTCTTCCACTATTAGAACACGGGATCCAAGTTTTCCACTATTAAAACACGGGATTCAGGTTTTCCACTATTAGAACACGGGATTCAAGTTTTCCACTATTAGAACACGGGATTTAAGTCTTCCACTATTAGAAAACGGGATTTAAGTCTTCCACTATTAGAACACAGGATTCAAGTTTTCCACTATTAGAACACGGGATTCAAGTCTTCCACTATTAGAACACGGGATTCAAGTTTTCCACCATTAGAACACGGAATTTAAGTCTTCCACTATTGGAACACAGGATTTAAGTCTTCCACTATTAGAACATGGGATTCAAGTTTTCCACTATTAGAACACGGGATCCAAGTTTTCCACTATTAAAACACGGGATTCAAGTTTTCCACTATTAGAACACGGGATTTAGGTCTTCCACTATTAGAACACGAGTTTTAAGTTTTCCACTATTAGAACACTTGATTCAAGTTTTCCACTATTAGAACAGGAGTTTAAGTCTCCCACTTTTAGAACACGGGATCTTAGTCTCTCACTATTAGAACACAAGATTCAAGTTCTCCACTATTAGAACACGGGATTCAAGTTTTTCACTATTAGAACACGGTATTCCCTTTTTCCACTATTAGTACACGGAATTTAAGTCTTCCACTATTAGAACACGGGATTTAAGTTATCCACTATTAGAACACGGGATCCAAGTTTTCCACTATTAGAACACAGGATTTAAGTTTTCCACTATTAGAACACGGGATTCAAGTTTTCCACTATCAGAACACGGGATTTAGGTCTTCCACTATTAGAACACGGGATTTAAGTCTTCCACTTATAGAACACATGATTCAAGTTTTCCACTATTAGAACACGGGATTCAAGTCTTCCACTATTAGAACATGGGATTCAAGTTTTTCACTATTAGAACACGAGATTTAAGTCTTCCACTATTAGAACACGGGATTGAAGTCTTCCACTATTAGAACACAGGATTCCAGTTTTCCACTATTTGAACACAGGATTCCAGTTTTCCACTATTAGAACAGGGGATTTAAGTTTTCCCCTATTGTAACACGGGATTTAAGTTTTCCACTATTAGAACACAGGATTTAAGGCTTCCACTATTAGAACACAGGATTTAAGTTTTCCACTATTAGAACACGGTTTTTAAGTTTTTCACTATTAGAACACGGGATTCAAGTTTTCCACTATTAGAACACGGGATTTAAGTCTTCCACTATTAGAACACGGGATTCTAAGTTCTCCACTATTAGAACACGGGATTTAAGTTTTTCACTTTTAGAACACGGGATTTACGTTTTCCACTATTAGAACACGGGATTTAAGTCTTCCACTATTAGAACACGGGATTTAAGTCAAGTCTTCAACTATTAGAACACGGGATCGAAGTTTTCCACTATTAGAACACGGGATCCAAGTTTTCTACTATTAGAACACGGGATTTAAGTTTCCCACTATTAGAACACAGGATCTAAGTTTTCCACTATTAGAACACAGGATCCAAGTTTTCTACTATTAGAACACGGGATTTAAGTTTCCCACTATTAGAACACAGGATTTAAGTTTCCCACTATTAGAACACAGGATCCAAGTTTTCTACTATTAGAACACGGGATTTAAGTCAAGTCTTCAACTATTAGAACACGGGATCGAAGTTTTCCACTATTAGAACACGGGATCCAAGTTTTCTACTATTAGAACACGGGATTTAAGTTTCCCACTATTAGAACACAGGATCTAAGTTTTCCACTATTAGAACACAGGATCCAAGTTTTCCACTATTAGAACACGGGATTTAAGTCGTCCACTATTAGAACACGGGATTCAAGTTTTCTACTATTAGAACACGGGATCCAAGTTTTTCACTATTATAACACGGGATTTAAGTCTCCCACTATTAGAACACGGGAACCAAGTTTTCCACTATTTGAACACGGGATTCAAGTTTTCCACTATTAGAACACGAGATTCAAGTTTTCCACTATTAGAACACAGGATTTAAGTTTTCCACTATTAGAACACGGGATTTAAGGACGACTGTGTATTTAGCGGGTTTTTTTCCGAAGTTCAGCCTATTTGCACTTATTCTCTCCCCCCCCCCCCCTTTTTTTCTTGCTGATTTCCCACTTCACACCACATGGTCTGTGGCATTTTTTTTTTCACTTATCAATGTACCCTGTACTGTTCATGTCTCGCTCGCACACATCTTTGTAGTAGAGTGGACCTCAACATTTACCTATCTGTAATTCATAATATAGAATGTTCTTAGGGGACATTCCTAGAGTCTCCAAGTGTGACCCAGCCACCAAAGCACTCGAAGACTGAGCATTGAGTAAACAATTGTAATACCTGCTCTTTCCAGTACCTCAGTGTTTGTGATCTTGTCTTGCGATTTAATGTCAAAGACTGCATAGAATATTCTTCATTCTGTAAAATGCTATATTAAAATGATTCTATCTTTATCTTCTTATTAGACCTTTTATGTGCAGCTAACAAAAGTTAACAGATATAAATATGTATGAGTAGATGGATAACACGAGCTTCAGTGACTACATGTTTGCCTGCCAGTCTAAACAGCTTGGGTTCAAAATCAACATCAAGGTAGATTTTTTTTCTAATTGGTTTTGCCTCCTAGCCTAAGATAGGTGCCAGTTAATGTTCTGGGAAGAAAAGGCAGCCTGCATGATACTGACGTTACAAATCAAGTGCAAACTGGTCTGTTAATATACAGCTCTAAGACTTTATGTTGTAAAAGTAGACCTTTTAAATAGTTTTTGTGTGTGTGTGTGTAAACACTAATGATGAAATAACAACAAGAACAGTGAAAAATAGATCAGGAGTAATAGAGTTTATAATAAAAACAATCAGCATCAGGAATGCAACAATCAGGAATGGGCCATCTATGGACAGGAGAGACATCATCAATGCCATATGAGAGACCAAACGCTGTGAGGATTTCAGTGCTGTGGAAAATTGATCTTTCACTGAACAGACTGCATTCCCTGGGTGTACCAATTGGAGCGGCGAGACAGGAAAACCATGGGGGAGTCACCCGTCCTTACATCAAACAGAACAGAATGGGAGTTGTAAGCCTGTAAACACTTGGAGACATACTCAGGCGGAGATCAGAGCACTTATGGTCATGTCTGATGTGGATGAAGATGATCTGTAAGTGAACAACTACCAATCTGTATCAAACAGGTGACACAACATTGACAGCTGAACCCGCACATGACTTCCCAACTGTTTGACTGCAGTCAAAATACACTGACACCCTCTACAGAAGCTTCACCTGCAAACTTGTCAGCTCGCTCATTTCCTTGCATGCATGCATGAATATGAAACTGACATTTGCCAGCCCCGACCATCTCAGAGACTCCAACCACGGTCTTTGGACCCAGCTCATCTCTATCCTCCTGAACATATTCACAGAGAAAGCATGCGCGATGTTACTGCTTTGGTCACTGCTATGACCTCCATAATCAGACTAAATATAGTCAAGGCAACAGCACCAGTGTCTTGCTTCACAATCCTGATTCTAGCCTGAGTGATAAAAGGCCATGAGCTTCTCACATGGCGAACCACAGACCCGTATGCATAAATGGCAACTTCCCCCTCTAGAGAATTCTTAAAACTCAAAGCCTGCGCTTCTGCAAGTGCTGTATATAAGTAATTATGTTCATTCTCCATGTTACAGCTCCATACAGCAGTATTAAGCTGACATTGAAGTTACTTGTGTATCCTTTACAGGACATTGGAGAACCATTCACAGCAATTTTTGGCTGCTGTGGTTTTTCTAGGCAGATTTACGTCCAGTAGTTTGCCATTGCTTTCCGGACAGTCAGCATCTCAATACAAATGTCTAATCCAACACAAGGCCTGCAGCTGGGATTGAACCCGGCACTCCAGCATTACAAAGCACATTCGCAATGCCTAAGCCACAGACTTAGCTGACATTAGAATGAAATATTTTTAGTGCTAGTTATAATTTCCTTTGATTTTCAGATTTCTTAGTGCTATGAAAACCTCTTGTCTTTTGTATTCAAAACTGCATTTCTCAATCTGTTCCTCCATCTTAATCTACATTACTGCCTAAATAAGTGAATGACACCTCACCTTATAGCAGGGTTTCAATAAGGAGAATTAGAGATTATTGGTTGATTTATTTATTTTTATGACCTTTGCCATTCCCTTACAGATTTCTATTTCTAACTGTTGTGATCTCTCAAGTATGTTACTTTATCTTACATTCAATTTTGTAAGTGGGAAAGAAGGGAACTATCAGCGAAGTCCAGATCATCAAGCTGTTCTGTCAGGGTAAACCGAATAAATCAAACTGTAATAAAAACAAGATAGTAACAAACAAACTCAGTCTTCCATTATAGCTGTATTTAATAAAGAATAACAATACAGAAACAAGAATCACACTTATGTTTTCCGGCTGAAACTGACTGCATTTAAAAGGTGCAGTTTCTTAACTTAACTACAAATTATCGCTGTATTTAAATAAAGAACAACTGTAGAACAAAACAAGCAAACATAACTGCTTTCCAACTAAAGAAAACCATTTATTCATGTTCTATTCCTGAATCCAGCAATATGAAAAACATTCACAGCTGAAGACAAAACAAAAACCTGTATGCTCTCTAATGTGCAACTTCCTCTTCAGTTTTTCCATACTGCTTTTCCCATCGCTCGATGTATTCCTTCTTTCGTATTTCTCGCAATGCGAAATACTCTGGATACTGAGCCTTCTCAAAAGGATGCCAAGTGTCTAAAATCTGAGGACAGGAAAAGAAGTAGCTCATCAGACAAAAAATGACACATTGCTTTGCTAGATTTAAAAGTAAAAGTCAACACTCCTGGTCAATGTGGAGAATAGAATAGGCAGGTTTACTATTTTTAGCTGTGGCAAAGTTGTGTGTGATTTTGATAACAGTGGGTTATTGCATTTGTAGACAGAAGGATTTAGTTACGCCACCCAGCTATTGAGCTGAGTTCATGGCACAACACAAGTGCGGATTTAATTTGGAATGCTTTTCATCAATGCCCAACATGGTCTGTGTTGTAAACTGTAGATTCATTGATTTGATTTAAGAACCGACATCACAGCACTCGGGGCACTCCCATATGCGCTCCGTCCCCATCTTCAGCAGCCAGCCAAAAGTTCTGATACTAATGGTGCCAGTAGCATTCTGATTAAACGTCCATCTTGCCTTTCCTCTGAGCCTCGAGCATCTGCCAGAACCTCTCGTCACTCCCAACTGCATCAATCTCACCACACTGTGGTAATCAATCTGCTTCTCCGAACTGTACAAGCTCTCCCACAAGGCACTAACCACGTCTGCCCTATCATGCATCAGTATTCCACCAAGCTGTGCAGAGCCAGCCAGTCCGCCCGCCTGTTCATTTCCTAACACACTGGTATTCCCTGGTGAAAAAATCCAGACAATACTTCTCACCCGTGTCTTCCGCAGCGAGGCATACCATTCTGCATTAAGTATGCCTGTCCTGATCTTCCTCAGCATGCTTTCTGAGTCAGTTACAATCACAATGTGTGTGTGTGTGATGTTCTCTAGCCAGCGGAAAGCCGCAGTGACCGCCTTCACCTCTATTCTTAAGCTGGAAGTTCTGGTATCACATACCAGGATCTCCTGCACCAAACGTTGACCATTAACTTTTGCTAAGAAACCCCAAGCACTTCTTTTGACTCTTGACACTGAACCGTCTGTGAAAATGATCAAATCTTCTGAGCGAAGAACTGTAGATTCAGAAAATGGTGAGTGGCCTGTTGCCACAGAACTGGTGGTGCCATAAACCGCATGTGTAATTACTGTTTTGGTGCAACTGCTGCTTCCATCGATAATGAACTGTATTTCTAGTGTCAGACAGTTTGTATTGGCATTTCTGATGGCTGCATTATTGTGTGTGTATGCTATTGGATTTGCGGCAGTCTGTGTCAATGTTTCCACAAGTGACAATGTTGGACATTCTGTGTGTTTTAATTGGCACAGGAATGGAGCAACCAAGAGGTGACTTGTTGGCTATGAAGTTGGAGTAGCGATTACCTGACTGCCAAAGTATAAATCAAGGGCTGAGAATTGAAAATTGTTATGTTAAAATCATAACTGACAGACAGTTAAGGTGAAAAAGTAGTCTTGAGATGTGAACTAGCGTCACTGGAGAGGGTTATAAGCCTAAGTGCGCTGCCACCAGTAAGAACAGCTGGTAAGAAACTGTCCGCCTGTGTTGTCGTTCGCACATAACTCCGTAGCTACAGCGATGTTCCTCCATTTACATCAGAGTGTTAACTCTGATACCCATTACCTAGAGGCTGGGTAAACCCCAGGAACTGCACGGTTTCGAACACCGGCCGTGTGCTGTAGCGAGTCGCAGCTGGAACTGGAAGCAAGTCTCCTATTGACTGCGCTAATGTGGCGAACACATACACAGTACCCAGTGGGTGACTTGTGTTGTTGAGTTCATTTGGTTTGTCTGTCTAAACTTGAGATGTATAAATACAGTGTACACTGTGGGTGACTTGTGCTGTTGGCAACAAAGCAATTCATTTTCAAATTTAAAACAGCAACAAACAATTCATTATTATTAGGGCTGTACCGAATAGTGATTTTCACGAATACGAATAGTGGGACCAACTATTCGGCCGAATACGAATAGTGTATCATCGTCATCAGGTGCCTTGCCGATTGGCGTGGGCAATTATACCTCGCCACAATCTGCGATCTCCTGCAGCAAGTATTAGTTCGTGTGCTGACACACCTCCATGCCATGCAACAAGACTGTCAAGAATCTTCTCTTGTTGTCTTCCTCTATTCCTTCTTCCACAGATCTTTCCAGTGGTCACCACACGTTCCATTTTCTCTCTTCTAATAACATGGCTGAAAAATTATGATTGTCTCCTTCTGATGTCTGTGAATAGTTGTCTTTGGGCTCCCGCCTCTTTCAAAACCTCTTGGTTGCTTTTTTTGTTTGTTTTGTTGTTGTCCAAGGTATGTTAAGCACTGTTCTGTAAAATCACATCTCTAAGGCCTCCAGAAATTATTTACCCTGCCTACCGATTGTCCAGGACTCACAACGCATTGCCTTTAAATATAAGTGCTTACTAGATGAGGCTAACAGTTACTATAGTACGGACCACGTTTTCCACTAAAAAATTTCAGCCAAAATGTAATCACAACCTTAATTATCTGCTGCACCTTCACGAATACAGATGGAGGATTGGTCGCACCTCGAGATAAATACAAAGACAATTTTAAGCACGCTGCTGTTGGCATTTTATGCAGTATGATACACTTTGAGTGTGAAATAATGAAAAAAACTTTTCGACAGTGGCGAGGAAAGACAATTTACATTTTAACTTTTAAGTATCTTCATGCAGTCTTTAATAATCTCACAATTTATAGCCGACTTTTCTTGATTTTCGCCGCGGCACCCCGGCATATGTACCCAGTTTGAGAACCTCTGCTGTAATGCCTCGGTCGAGTTAGCAGGCAAAAACCTTGCCAGCTGCTGTATCACGCAACCGGGTCGCAGTTTCCCCAGTTACGTCAGATTTAGGCAACAGCAACTATTGTGTTAACGAGAGAGTTTTTTCAGTCCATATCAGTGTATGCAGAAACGGGTGTAAGATAACCACTATTCGTATTCGGCCCGACCGCAAGTATTTGACCGAATAGTTATAAGGTCCACTATTCAGCCCGGAAGCGAACATTCGGTACAGCTCTAATTATTATAAAATAATGCCATACCCAATCAGGAGTAGGGAAATGTCTCTCATACGCAACACCTCCAGGGGATAAGGGGACTGAAAGAGATTAAATAAAAAATTTATTACAATGTGTTTTACAACAGCAACAAAATTAGACTAATGCAGAATGAAAGACTACATTCCCACATCAGTCTTAAAATGGTACAACCAAATAGCGACTTAACCCATCAAGAGACAAAAACATTATTACAATCTAGTATCCAAGAAAGGTGGCTGGATACACACACCAGATTTTCTCCCCAAGACTCGCTTCATCGCCTCTCTAGAGAGGAACAGTGTATTATATTCACACTAAGGACTAGGCACAACAGACTTCGTCATCATATGTTCAAATTTTTTGGTGTAGGAAACACGGAGACGTGTCCATGCAGCGTGGCACCCGAAAATGCTGAGCATGTGCTCCAACACTGTCAAATGTATGCTGACAACAGAGACTTATTTGGCCTGTTCCAACCACAATGAAGACAAAGCTATATGGTACACGAGAGGATATGGACTGCACGATTTAGTGAACACTTAGTGTCACACTCAGGGCATTCCCAAGTGCACTCCGTCCCCATCTTCAGCAGCCAGCGCAGAGTTCCAAAACTGATGGTACCGGTCATAATCTGGTTATATGTCCGTCTTGCCTTTCCTCTGTAGCGAGCTGGCCAGACCCTCTGGTTACCCCCAGGTGCCTCTTTCTCTCCAGACCATAATAAACTTCTTTCTCTATTGATTCTGTTGCTTGTTCCCAAAGGGCCTTGACCACATCTGCCCTTAGTGTCACAAGTAAGACCAGTAAGACCAGCTCGCATTAAGAAAACAAACATCCTTAACAACAGCATGAGATTTCAGAACCATTGTTTCGTCACATGTACTTGATATGTTTCTTCTCAGATATTCAGCTCTTAATGTCTGCAGTATTTTTGTCCTCTGTCCCTGTTCCATTCAAAATTTGTTTGCCCTATATGTAGTATGATCCATAACATCCTGTTCCCAAGAATCCAACGTATTACCTGAGTCATTAATGTCTCCCGGCGTGATGCTGACCACATCACCCATCTTGTGCCGACTGGCCTATAAAAATATAGGTCTACCCTATATGCCCTATACGCCTAAAGGCATGGAAAAGGGTCCTTTACTTACTTTACTTTACATTAATGTCTCACAAAATCCTTCAAAAGAAGCTCATCCTTGACATCTTCTGCCCATCTATAATTCCCCATAGGGAATTTCTTTAGGTATTCTATCCTCTGAGTGTGTTCCAGCCATGTGAGCTTTGAGAAATCTGTTGTGATACCTGCTCTTCTCAATTACCTTAGTGTCTGTGATCTTGTCATGTCAGCTAATGCTAAGTGTTCTTCACGGACATCACAGGTGATAGCTGTTTCTCCTAGTGCAAGTAAGGTGACCAATAAACACAACGGGAGCATGCCTAGCAGGAGTCTATAGATCATCAGTAGGGGGGGGTCCCTCATCGACAATTGTTTCAGCCCATTATCCTCCTAGACAATCTCAGAGAATGGGCCGACCTGGTTCATGACTCCAGGTAGGTAGCAAAATAAGTGCCTACCGTCATGACCAGAGTGACAAGTGTACAGTTGATTTATTGGACAGACATTAGACTTTGGCAAATAGCAGAGTGACACGGACAGACAATCGGACGTATCGCTACTATACTAATGAGTGCCGAGAACCAGGGCTTTTTCCCCTGACTGTTCTGGCACTTTTTTTAGCACTATCCTAATAGATATTTTGTAATTTGTATTGGCACCTTTTACCAGAGATTCTGTGGTAAGTACCAGCATCTTCCTCACCAGAAAAAAAAAGCCCCTGCTTAGGAGGTATGCTGGAACAACAAGGGCTTTATAAAATGAAACTTACAGTAAATTTGCTGGGGATGGCTTTTCAGAAGCAGCTCCTTTTGTCCATCCAGTAGTAACTTCTTTGCTTTCCTTACATCTACTTCATTTTTGTTTTCATCAAAGCGAGCACGCAATAACACAGCTTGATATCGGAACTCAGCCCTGAATAAGATTAGAAAAAGAATATAGAAGTTAAGCAATTCAAAATTTAATCAAGTGCTTACAGCAGGTCACAGCTGAATGTATATACTTTTGTAGTGAGTGTTTATTCAGTGACTCCAGGACTGACGCAGATAGGATGGTTTGCCCATCTCAAGGAAATGCCCTGGTACCAACTACCACACAGAGACACATAAAATATAATGAAGACAGTTATAGGAATACTGGGTATAAGATGGAAAAATGGCATCAAGAGCAACTCTGAAGAAATAAAGACCAGTTTACACAACATATGAAAAACAGCACACAGGCAATCCCTACCTTTCCTCACAACATTTCAATGAAGAAGCAAGGAAAAGGAAGAAGAGATCTGGCATCACCGAAAATCTTGTGGTTTTGGTTCCACACAAAAAAACTTCTTGTGTAGCAGAGCAATGGCAGAACTTACTAGAACAGAAGCAGTACAGTTTAACAGCTGAATGATTTGATAGGGGCATAAAAAGCCAAATGTTCCAATTAGTAATGGCACAATAATGAATGATGAGCAGAGCTGACAAGAACAAAGGTAAGAGAACTAGAGAAATTCCTATATGTGCTTTGTCACCCTCTTCACCAGAGTGCAGAGGTCTAATTCTGCTGGTACCAGCCCTTTGGGAGCGAGTGGACAGTGGGAAGGCACAAACAGATCAGTATGGTCTGAGGAGAATGGCGCTGCGCGGAGTTATCAGGGAATCTGGCCGACACTCAACGGAAAGACAAGATGAATGTAAAATCAGACAGCTACTGGTGCCATCAGAATTGGAACTCTATGCTTGCTGCTGAAGATGGGAACAGAGCCTTATGGGAGTGTCCCAGAGGTGTGATGTTGATTCTTAATTCAACATTTGGAACCAGCAGTAGTCTAAGCACATGTCCTTCTAGCCATTTCTCTGAGTATTGAGTGTCAGCCAAATCCCCTGGTCAGAGCCACTTCAGCCTATGATTTATTCGTGCTTCTGCACTAACTACTGACTGAACGTAAATGTGTCTAATAGAAGTTGCACAGCCAAAAAATGCTGAAGATGGTTTGCAAAGTCAGCAAACAAATACTGGAATTTGTTTTCAATGGGAGCGGCTATGGTGTAACGGAGAGACATCTGCCTGCGGATCCGAAGGCTGTGGGTTTTAATTATTATAGAGCCAGAATTTTTTTTTAAATTTGGCCTCCAGGTTGATCCAGTCTTAAATGGGTGCCAGGTAAAGTCCTGGGAAGTAAAGGCAGCTAGCGTAATGCTGACCACATCACGCGCTGAGTGCTAATTGGTCTATAAAATATAGGTCTAGCACTACACGCCCAGTGTGTCTAAAGGCGTGGAAAGGGGTAACTTGCTTTCCTTACTCATTTGCAATATCCTATAATGGACATACAATAAACTTTTAAGTGTAATAGTCTCTGCTTCAGAACTGGAGTAGTATTCAAAATTCAAAGGAGATGTGAAACTGCATTATGATAATTACAATATCTTATTAGAATACAATAATGTCTTTTGTCATGACTTTAAACTCTGACAGATCTGCTCACTGATTTGTTCATATTGTTTTCATATTAAACTTGAAATCTGAATGCTAACCTTCCACTTGTGTCCTGAATCGTGATTTACCACATGACCACTTCTTGCTCATCAGCCTTTGAACTTCTTCAGTACTGTCTGTACAAGAGCCTTCTTCTTCTTCTTCACTTCCTCTTTTACCATGTTCTGTGTCGAGGGAGATAAAAGGTTCTGGCTGCCTTATCCATAAAAACATTGTGCTGTTGTAGAGTTTCTCTGATGTTATCTTTTCATCTTGTTCTTGATCTACTGTGTGATCTACATCCTTCTCCACTTTTGGCATATGCCATGTATGGTACAGCGTCACAAGTCATTCTCTGTAAGTGGCTAAACCACTTGATATGTTGTCATTGTATGTAATTTAGAATTATTTATATGCCAACTTGTTTCTCTTGCGAGCCTATTTACAATGTGATCTCTTCTGGCCACTCCTATAGCACTTCTCATGCATCTCCTTTTTGTAGTTATTAATTTTCTGTTATGGTTTGTTGTGAGTGACTATATCTGGCTCTGGTAGCATAAGGTTGGAATGAACACTTTTTTTTTTCAGGTGCTGATTCAAATTGTCTTATGCTGGGGTGGTGGTGAGGGGGAAGGGGGTGGGGGAGGACTAGCTGTCCCAGTTCTTAGTTTGCTGTACTGCATCTGATGTTTATTTCTTCATTTAATTTCTCATCTTCAGTGAATGTTGAACCTAGATATTTAAACTCAAAAGCCTGTTTAATCTGCTTTGCACTATACTGTTACTGATATTATATTTAGCTTAAGATTCTTTTTTTCCTATTGACATTACTTGCCTTTTCAGAGTTATCTCATTATTTTTACATTCTTTATACAGATGTTGACTATCCTCCGAATAACGGCCCTAAATTTTCGAGGCAGAAAATATACCCTAACAGGGCCCCAGTCACGTGTCAGTTGTGCACTTCCGCCGACTTAAACTGCGCGCTGCCGGCACCGCCAAGAGTATCCCACACACCGCTCGCGCGGCATGGACTGGGGCTAAACTAGATGGCCGGGACTCACGAGCAGCAGCTACCGCATCTCCTGCAGCTTCCTTCATTTTATTTGCTAGTGAGTCCTAGCCTTCTAGTTTAGCCCCAATCCATGCCGTGTGAGCGGAAGATCGCAATTCAGCGGTGGCATTATAGTCCCCGGAAGTGTGCAATTGACACGTGACTAAGGCCCTGTTAAGGTATATTTTCCGCCTCGATAATTTAGGACCGTTATTCGGAGGATAGCCCAGATGTTAGTTAGATGCTTTTGCAATTTCATGGCTGTATCTGCTGTAAAAGTCTGGTCATCAGCAAATAGTACCTGAATTCGTTGATCTTACTAAACCTATTAGTAATTACTAGTATTAATAATTGTATTTAATATTTTACTAGCATTTTCGTTCCTGGTCATCAGCAAATAGTACCTGAATTCGTTGATCTTACTAAACCTATTTGTAATTACTAGTATTAATAATTGTATTTAATATTTTACTAGCATTTTCGTTCCTGGGCTTGTTGGTATTTATTATTGCAAATTGAAATATGCATATACTGACATATACTTGTCAGTCGATGCGTTTTACAAGAGTACTGTCATTTATTATGGCCACAATTAATGAATTATACTTACTTATATTTTTTTAAAATATATATATTTTAGCAACTCCTTTTTTTTCCTTTAATTCCAGTCTTTCCAGACCCTGTGTTAAATATGTTGTATTTGTTTTGTTTTCATGGGAAAGGTTAAAGGTTAGTTGCGTATCCTTTACAGTTGGACTTTGCAGAACCAACCCCAGCAGCCGCTGTTGTATGGTTTCTTTAGGCAAATTTACGCCCAGTAGTTTGCCATTACCTCCTGGACGGTCGGCCCCCTGACACTGACACCACTGTCGAAACCAACGCAAGGCGTATGGCCCGCAGCTGGGATCGAACCCGGCACTCGAAACGTTCGCATCGATTAGCCACAGAGCAGACTGCCATCGGAAGGAGAGAGAGAAAATGTCTTCTTAGGAAGTTTATAATTAATAACTGGTCAACTTTCAAAAATTATTAGTTAGTTAGTTAGTTGGGTTATCATCATTGCACTCCGGACATGTCCATAGGTGCTCAGATCCTCCCCTCAGTATGAATCCCAACGTCCGATGGCTAATAGTACCAGTTCTATGTTGATTAACAAATTATTATACATACCTATCGAAAGGTTCATAGTATGACTGGAGAGTGCGGGCAGCTTTCTTGTACAAGCTGCGAACTTTCTGTGCGTGTGAAAGTACCTTTGTCTGGAGGTAAGACATTGTTTTGGCAGAGACGGCCACCACCACGACCTAGACCAGCCACATGAAGGGCACACGAATATTACCGCAGAATTTTTGTTAACTCTTTACGTTTCTGATGTAAAAGTCATAATTAAAACAGTGTCCAGTCTATCTATCTGGTTTGTGATTGATAAATACAGATCAGTTGTTTCTTTCTATTCAATTTTTGAATTTGTTTGCCACTTATTGTTGGTTATTTAATACTGCATTGAAAATTTAACACAGATTACTGGAGTTAAGCATAAATAAACTGTTAACTTTAATATAGTTTAAAAGTACTTACTTGTGAAACAATTTTGATAATCATTTTGTGTTAACTATCTTTGGAAATATTTAAAGTAGTCTGGGGTAACCATTTTCTGTCTTACGATATATTAACTCATGTGTGGTGTAATGTCAGTTATGATTTTAACATAACAATATGTTTCACCGTGATGAAAGTTGTGAGAGCTTGAAATATTTAAAAGGGAACTGGCCAGTATATTATTAATGTGAGAAGAATTCAAGATGAAAGTTCGGGCAATAAAAATGACAATATATTAAACTAGTGCAAAGACGGGTGAAAATTATTTCCCGGTAATGTTTGGTAACTTGTATAGAAAAGAACGACAACTCCTATATTCCGGTGTAAAACTTCCCTAACACCCATCAATAATATCATTCTCAATACCCAACTGTCTCCAATTCTGTTTCGAGTCGCTAGTGGGAGAAATCTATCCAGCGTTAATATTTGTTTGTAAGACCAGCTTTGCCATTTATTAAATTAAAAAAACAAACATTAAACCTGTCTGATTTTAAGCAAAGGTGCACTTATATTGTTAATATTATTCTCTTCGATTTGTTTAGGTGGGAGGGATGGGTGGGACATAGACGGACTTTTGGCTCTCCTCCGAACTTCTACCCCCGCATTATGGCGGTCTGAAATATCTGTTCGGGGCTCAGTTCTATTAAAAATATGCCGGCTCCGTATAACGAAACAAATGCTCTAACAGGGTCTCAGCTCTCAGCGATATGTTACTTGCGGACCTGTTTCTTATTGTTTCTGATTACCTGACAATTCTAAGAGACGCAACACTGCAGACGATAGTAGCAGAAGATAATAGCGACTGTTGACACTTTCCATTGTCGGACTTTCTGCCGAGAAACAAATATGTAAAATGGAGACTTGTCGGACTTTCTGCCGACGAACAAATCGTGGCAAATCTAGGATTGGCTCAGAATAACGAAACAAATGCTCTAACAGGGTCTCAGCGATTTGTTACTTGCGGACCGGTTTCTGTGACTGTGCCTCACCGTCGAACGTATCCCCAGTGCCGCTACGCACGGCGCGGATAGGGGCTAAACTAGATGGCTGGGACTCACAAGCAGCAGCTACCACATCTCCTGCAACTTCCTCCAATTACTTTGCTCCTGAGTCCCAGGCACCTAGTTTAGCCCCCCATCCACGCCGTGTGTAGCGGCGCGGGGGATACGCTCGGCGGTGAGTTTAATCGCGTTTCGCGCATGCCGACAAGTCTGACATCTACCTCTGCTAAATCCTCAATTGGAAGAACAGGGTTGCTAATCTGCATGGGAGCGCGTGGTCTATCCGCCATATCGCTTTCATAGTCTGTAATGTCTCGAAATTGTCAACGGTCGCTTTTATCGTCTGCTACTATTGTCTGCAATGTTGCGTCTCTTGAAATTATCAAGTAATCCTAGTTTTCCCGCGATTTGTTCCCTGGCAGAAAGTCCGCATTTTTCATTGGACTGAGCCCCAAACGGACATTTCAGGCCGCCATACTGCGGGGGTAGAAGTTCGGAGGAGAGCCGGACTTTTAATCAAGTTTCCACTGTTACTATTAGTACATCGACTCTTCGTTGTCTACTGAAAAAAAGGCGACGGAGCACCTGTGGGAATATCTCGAATGCAGTTATACCAGTTTTTGATTCACTTACTTATTATTCATTCTCTTCCACTGGGAGATTTATTTTGTAAACGTCTGTGTCGAGAAAAAACAATGCTTTAGTATCACTGTACCAGCTTGGTCCAGAAATAATTCACTATGACACCGTCACTCCTATAGATGCAAGTTGTTTTTCCGCCCCTATGCGACCTGAATGGCCATGGCATCTGACTGAGATTTACAATGTATAGTCCTCCTCAGTGAGGTAACTGAAGAAGAGAAGATGAAAGAATCCACAGATTTAAAAATTATGAAAGTTTCTTGCAGAATCTGCCGCTGTTGTGATCTTTCTAGGCAGTCTCTTTATTATTAACCACTGTTACCTACCAGTCTCTTTATTATTAACCACTGTTACCTACCAGTCTCTTTATTATTTACCAGTCTGTTATCTACCAGTCTCTTTATTATTTATCACTGTGTTATCTACCAGTCTCTTTATTATTTATCAGTGTTATCTACCAGTCTCTTTATTATTTATCACTGTGTTATCTACCAGTCTCTTTATTATTTATCACTGTGTTATCTACCAGTCTCTTTATTATTTATCACTGTGTTATCTACCAGTCTCTTTATTATTTACCACTGTTACCTACCAGTCTCTTTATTATTTACCACTGTGTTATCTACCAGTCTCTTTATTATTTACCACTGTTACCTACCAGTCTCTTTATTATTTACCAGTCTGTTATCTACCAGTCTCTTTATTATTTATCACTGTGTTATCTACCAGTCTCTTTATTATCACTGTGTTATCTACCAGTCCCTTTATTATCTACCAGTTCCTTTATTATGTACCAATCCCTTTATTATGTACCAGTCTGTTTATAATGCACCGGTCCCTTAATTATCTGCCAGTTTCTTTATGATGCATCAGTCCTCCGCGTGTGGGTGCTTGGGTCCCATTGTGGGGAAAACAAAAATAGAGCCACTGCTTCCCCAACAAGCATATCGTAAGAGTTGACTAATTAAGGGCTTCTTTTAGAGTCGGAGTACATCGCCCGAGCAGCCCCTTTCTTTTTTAACAGTTTTTAATCTGCCAGTCCTTTTTTTTTACCTACCAGTCTCTTTATTACCTACCGGTCTCTTTATTACCTACTAGTCCCTTTATTACCTACCAGCCTCATTACCTACAAGTCCCTTTATTACCTACCAGCCTCATTACCTACAAGTCCCTTTATTACCTACCAGCCTCATTACCTACAAGTCCCTTTATTACCTACCAGCCTCATTACCTACAAGTCCCTTTATTACCTACCAGCCTCATTACCTACAAGTCCCTTTATTACCTACCAGCCTCATTACCTACAAGTCCCTTTATTACCTACCAGCCTCATTACCTACAAGTCCCTTTATTACCTACCAGCCTCATTACCTACAAGTCCCTTTATTACCTACCAGCCTCATTACCTACAAGTACCTTTATTACCTACCAGCCTCATTACCTACAAGTCCCTTTATTACCTACCTGCCTCATTACCTACAAGTCCCTTTATTACCTACCAGCCTCATTACCTACTAGTCCCTTTATTACCTACCAGCCTCATTACCTACTAGTCCCTTTATTACCTACCAGCCTCATTACGTACAAGTCCCTTTATTACCTACCAGCCTCATTAACTACTAGTCCCTTTATTACCTACCAGCCTCATTACCTACAAGTCCCTTTATTACCTACCAGCCTCATTACCTACTAGTCCCTTTATTACCTACCAGCCTCATTACCTACAAGTCCCTTTATTACCTACCAGCCTCATTACCTACTAGTCCCTTTATTACCTACCAGCCTCATTACCTACTAGTCCCCTTATTACCTACCATCCTCATTACCTACAAGTCCCTTTATTACCTACCAGCCTCATTACCTACAAGTCCCTTTAATACCTACCAGTCCCTTTATTACCTACCATTCTCTTTATTATATACCAGTCCCTTTATTGTCATATCTGATAAAGGTGGTCCAAGTTACAAGAAGGGACAAAGTCCACAATCAGACAATATGACAAGATCTTGATACCAAGTCCTTACAAACCCGAGTGGATCAGTCACAGTTACGATGGTTTGGACATGTATGCAGAATGGGAGAAAATCTGCCACCATGGCAGGCTAAGAACCAGGGAATCAGACCTCCAGGGCGGCCTATGGTTCGCTGGGAAGACAACATCTGACAGTCCCTAACTGACAGAGGACTGGAATGAAACAAAGACAGACAAAAAACTGCTGATAGAGACGTCTGTCAATCTCTCTGGCAAACCTCTACACCCCAAGGTAGAAGAGGAGCAACTAAGTAAGTAAGTTTATTATCTACCAGTTTCTTAATTATTTACCAAAAAGGCCCTTAAAATATATGACTTGTCATGCATTAATTCACTATAAAATGGTGCAGAACCAGCCGGTCTATCTGCCTGTTAATTTTTTTTACCACTATTCTTTGCTTTCTTCATAAGCTTTGTTAACACTAGAGCACACTTTTTTTGTGGCAGAACTAAATTCTGAACATTTAATTTCATACCCTGAGATAACTGTAAGATTTATTTTAGTCACATGTAAATAATAAGTTTTACTTGATTTTTCTTTCAGCTGAAAGATGGGCTAAAATCTGGCATGGGTGATGGCTTTTTAAAAGTGATTCCCAGCCCTGAGGAACTTCTGGTAGTCAGTCTCCAGAACCAGGGCTGGAAATGTCCAGAAGCAGGTTGTTCATACGTGGCAGAGAATACCAGCATCCTAGGACTTCACAGATCCCAGTGTCATAACTTTGTAAATTCTAAGTTACTTATTTGTTTTTTTAAGTGATTGTCTATATATAATGGTAGAACATAACAATTTCATTGACTTAAGAGGTGAGGAAAAAATGCTGGCTTTGGATAGAACACCCATTGAGAAAAACCTAATAGGATGACTAGAATTTCCTTGCAACTGAACCCATAAGGTTAAAGGAACAAAAACAGACCCAACAATATGTGAAGGGGATTTAAGAGATAAGCCAAAAGTCTGGAGAAGATTGGTAAGCTGTATGGGATAGCAAAGGATGAGACTGCTTGGTTTGAATTGGTTGAGAACCTATGCTCTAGTGGGGAATAAAGGGTTCTGAGCCCTTTTCAGGTCACACCCTCTTGAGTGTATTGCAAGACCTCCACGCCTCTCTTGAGTATATGGCAACACCCCCCCCCCCCCCCCCCCAACATAACAAAATGTGATTAAAAAGAAGACAGTAGATCCCAAAACAGTGAGTGTGGAAATAGGTTTTGGCCAGAATGTGTTCTTAATCTGTAATTGCCTGTTTTATCACATTCTTTAGATTTTTAACTGCTGTAGATATACAAAATGCTATGAAAACAAACAAAAAATATCCTTGGCTGTTTATTTTATATATATTTTCAAGAAGTATTTTATTATTGTATTTATAATTAAACTGAAAACATAACGCATTATTACAAATACAGATGCACTCAGTTTCAAAATTGCTTGACAACCCCCCGTTCCCTCCTCCTCTTGAAATATAGTTGCTCCGTCTCTGTAGCATATGTCTTAAAATGCAGATCAGCGCTATTCTACTTAAGTTTACTCAGGGCCCAAAATTGTGAAAACAGGGATCGTCACAGGCCAGTGGCGCAGCCACAGGGTAGATGTTTATTAAAAAAAATACAACGGATAATGATCTGCAGTCCCCTTGCTTGCTTCTGTGGACCAAATTCCACCCGTGAACCTCCATTTGAATAGCCCTATTGTAGATCTTGATTGTTGCTGTAGCACACTGATTATACATACATCTTTCTTGCTGGATTCATGCTTAGTTTGAAACTCTGCCAGCCTTGACTCTTTGAGTCCCAAGGAGCGCATCATATGTTCTTAGGTTCCTGCCTAGAAGCCCAGTAAACACAAGATGCGCCGATTTTACATCTCTCTTTACTACACCTTGGGCCTGGGATGCTAAACCCTCTGGGACACAAAGAGTTAAACATGTTTTTTCATCTAACTTCATATCTTCCGTCAGGGCTCATTCATAGATGGTCTTCAGAATGTCTCTCTTGTCCAATACAAGTGTTCCTGTAGCTATCACTTTTGTGGCAAACAGCTTTGCTCTTTCATATCATGGGCAATATATCTGCATATCCCCATAATCCCTTTGTGAGTTCCACAGCCTCATTGTGGGCTGGGATGAGAGTGGGGGGGGGGGGGATAGGCCCACTGCTTTCCTAACAAGCCTAATAATTAATGGTTTCCTTCAAAGTCAGAGTGCATCTGCCTGAGAGGCAAGGAACCAACAGTCTGCATACAAATAAGCCAGATCTGTTAAACAGAGATACACACAAAACAAGTTCTGGAACAAGACAAAAGTCCAGGAGTAGATAAAGAGCCCGAACTTTCAGCCATAGTTTACAGGCAGATGCACTCAATCTTTGAAGGAAACACCCCTAATTGGTTGCCTCCTACAACATGGGTGTTAGGGGAGCAGTAGGTCTATTCTTTATTCTCTAAACTGAAATTTTAAACATTCACAGGCAAAACTATAGATATGGAGTAGCATCACCAGTCTTGCACATCAACTAGCTTGAGTTAAGTTAAAAACCAACATTTCAATACTCCCATAAGTGCTCCGTCCCTGTCTTCAGTAGGCAGTGCGGAGTTCCGATTCCAATTTTACCAGTAGCAGTCTGATTATTTGTCTGTCTTGCCTTTCCTTTGAATGCTGGCCAGATCCTGTGGTCATTCCCTGCTGTACCACTCTCCAGACCGTGAGGAGCTATTTGTGCTTCCTCACCGTTCACCTGCTTACAGAGGGTCTTGATAAAATGTATCTTGTCATGCATCAGTTTTCCACTAGGTGATGCAAAACCAACCAATCTTCAGACTGTTAATTTCCCAACACACCTGCCTACCCTGGAAAATACATACAAAAGACAGTAACTACCCAGGACCTCTGAAGTGATACTTTCGACCGTCCATAGGGCAGGGCTGTCTCCATCTTTCTCATTATACTTACTGAATCTATTACAGTTGCTGACATTTGAACTTGGAAAATGAAAAGAGAGCTCTGCAACACAATCTGTATGGCAATGATACTGTGGTACTGAATCAAAATGAAAGTCTATAACATCCTCATTCAGACAGCTTCTTCTTCTTCTTCGTTTGTCATCTCACTGATACCAGGTTGTAGCCCAGTGTCATGGTTTTTTCGGGTGGCTGTTGTGATGGATTTGTTCATCTTTTTAGAGGTTTCAGCTACACCATTTATCCATATCTTTCTTGACCTTCCTCTTGCCTTCCTCCCAGATGTTCTGCTGTCAAGTCTCATAAGCAGTTTGATCTGGATGCAGTCTCACTAGATGGCTGAAGACATTGTTTTAATCCAACTTTGTTTCTAATGCTGGTATTTGTGACCCTGTCTCGTATAGTGTTGTTAGTAACCTTGCGGAGACAGGGCATTTCACATGTAGTTATTTCTTCTGTTCTATTGCTCTATTCATTGTCTATGTTTGGCACTGACAACATAAAGTAAAATCGTGGCTAGGTCGGGCAGAAGATGTTATTAGGCAAATATGCAGCCTAACCGACATCACCTCTGGTGCAGAGTGGATACCTGTGCCTCATGCATTTATTTATATATTTTCCTGTATTGCCACACTCAACAGGCGATGTAGAGAAGAGAATCCTGTTGCTGTTAATGCAGAGTCAACGCTCTCATCAATGAAAATTCAGACGAAGCAGATGCACTAATCTACACAGACGGATCCGTTATACGCCAAAAAAGAAGCGCAGGGGCATTCACAGCATGCTCAGCGAGCAGAACAGTCAAAGAAGCCAACGGTGCCATCTCCATGACAACCAGCAGCATGGCGATGAAGGTGATGGCAGTGACGCAAGCGTTTGTCTGGCTCGAAACACAAAACTAAACCCACGTATGTATACTCAGTGATTCAATGAGTATGATCCGGAGGGTTAAGGCAGGTTCAGTGTGAAGACAATGGCTTGAATCATTACAGAAGTCCACTGTGCGTGAAGTCACCTTTATTTTTGTTCCGGGATACGCAGGTGTCGATGGGAATGAAAGCGCTGACAGGTTGGCTGGATCTGCTATCACTTCCTATGGATCATGCTGATATTATTAATGCCCTCAGAGAAATGGGAAGGATAAAGGACTTTGGTGGCAGTGAATCCACATCACTCGCCAGAATAGCAGACTTGGGAATTAAGATCAGCATAGCAAAAAACGAGACGCACACCAGACATGCCAGAAGACTTGTTAATCAACATAGAACTGGTACTAGATAAATGCTCTGTTTGTACCAACTCTGTGCTATCGGTGCCAGACATGGACAGTCCTTGAAAAATATGAATGCAAAACTGCAACATAAGAGATAAGATGTGTAAGCAATGTGGCAGGAAAAACAAGAAGAAGCAGAGTCACCAACCAAGTACAATGGTAGACACAGCACTGGTAAATTATTTTGTAGAACATCAAAGAATCAAATGGTTTGGTCATCTGATGAGAATGAAACTAAATCAACCAGCAGCTAGAGCATACTGCATAAGAACAGCTGGCTACAAGTGAAGAGGCTGACCAAGAAAGACGAGGGTGGAGGGAGTGAAAGAGAACAACAGAAACACAGTATGACATCTAACTACATCTAACTCCTCTCTGCAAGACTTTACGGCATAAGCAGGAGGACACAAGAAGAAGTAGAAACTGTTTCAGCTACTCCTATGGATCAAAGTCCTTTTTGTGGCCTGATTAATGTGAACACCAGTGTACCAATCTTAAGCATAAAAGCTCCATGTTTCTGAGGATTCACAACCCAAAAGCCAACAGACATTCAGCAGTGACTTACAACTGATACTCTTATATCTTCTACAGAGAACCAAGCATAAGAGAGGAGCTGAAAATGTCCACTACCACTGCCCCATGGCAGATTGCTACTTTGGTCCACAGTCGGAGAGATACTTTAAGAATATTGACATTTTGAGAGCTGTAAGTATGAGTTTTATGTAATAAAACATTACGGTTAGAGTAGTGCTACCCTGTGTGGGTTCCAGATCCTGTTTTGGGTGGGGGTGGAAAGCAGGGGGTTAGTAGTTCACACTTCAGAAGTTTCAGTGAATTGAGTTCAAAACCAGTATCACAGCACTCGGAACAGAAGGTTCAGTTGAATTGAGTTCAAAACCAGTATCACAGCACTCGGAACATTCCTGTAAACACTTCATCCCCATCTTCAGCAGCTAGCGCAGAGTTCCAGTTCTGATGGTACCAGTAAGTAGAGGTGTGACTGCATGTCCGCATTGTCTTTTTGTTGAGTGATGGCCAGACCCCCCCCCCCCCCTCCCCCCCCCCCCCGTTCCCCTCCCTGAAGGGGGAATCTGAGCACCTATGGACATGCCTGTAGTGTCATGAAGATAACCCAAATAATAACCCATCTCTTTTCAAACCTCAGTGGGAATTACCATTACCTCATTTTCTTGTCTTTTTTTATTTTAGCACTATATGAAAATACATTCAGAGAAGAAATTTGCATGTTCAAAGTGCAAGAAGACTTTTGGCTTAGAGAGAGACTGTCACCGTCATGAAACAGAATGTAAAGTATAACATTTTTGACCACTTAAACTCCTGACCACTGTTTTATGTTATCACTATATGTCAATTATGTTAATACAGTATGTCAATGCACATCAGGCATTTCCATGTGTGCTCAGCCCTCTGATGTAGCAGGTACTCCAAAGTACTGCTGTTGATTGTAATCATAAACAGTTGGTTTTGATGTCTCCTATCTTGACCTCGAAGAGTTGGAAATACCAGATGAAGAGTATAACATTTTTAAAAAAAAACTTATCATTGTAGTATTTGTCACTCATGTATTATTATGGTGGTAAAATCGTACGCCCGTGTGTATTGTTTGCACGTGTAAAAATCCCTTGGCCGTTGGAAATCAAAATGAGTAGCTTAATAGCGTGCCCGGGCAAAATTTGGAGTTAAAAATCTACCCAAAGTATTTCAGGATCCTCGCTAGTGCTACGGAGTTCGTGCACTGCACTGAGATGTAGCACTTATAGGTCAGTACCCTCGTGCCATAATATTGATCCATTGTTTAAACTTGGACCTAATGCCTGTAATGGAATTAGTGAATAGCAAGCACTTTACTTGTAGTCTTCTTCTCCTTCTTCGCGTTCACCAGCTGTAAACATTGCAGAAAGTTCTGGTTGTTTATCCACTGCTGGACTGCAGTCCTGTTCCAGAACCTGAGTGTTGCGTGTGCATCCATTTTACAGATCTGACTCATTTGTATGCAGACTGCTGGTTCCTTGCCTCTCAGGCAGATGCACTCCGACTTCGAAGGTAGCTCCCAATTAGTCGACTCTTACGACATGCTTTTGGGTAGGCAGTGGGTCTATTCTTGTTTTCCCTATAATAGGGCCCCGGAACCCACACGGGGGTTTACTTGTAGTAAATATATTCATACTCGGGGCCTCCTAAATGCTGGACAAGCATGGACAGAACTAGTGACATTAAACTATGCTTCTCTGAAACAAGTAACTATAGACATAGTTGTTCACCATCTGATATTGCAGTTTCTTACGAACAAATTTTTGTCTTTTTAACTGACCCCATTCACCCGTCAAATTCTTTCACTGGCGGAAATATGCTTCAAAAACAGTTGACCTGTATTGCTGCATCAATTGTAGTGATGGTTTTTTTTTCTGCAGTGCTTGACCCAGCCATGGAAGATCTGTCATGGACTCATGTCTCTTCTGAAACATTTGTGCCCAGTCTATTACCCTATGTCTTTGACGCACATTTTGTAACCATACGCTGTCTGCATTCTTCGATGAAAGTCCACTGGTTATCTTTCAAATGAAAGTACTGAATCACAGCTCTCTAAGCCTTTCTTGATGGATTTTGGATCAACCCGGCCATTTTCTCAACAGTAAGAACCTTTAATTAGGGAATGATTAGCACATACTCTTTTATGTATGGTCGATATTTATCACACTCACTATGACATGATCAAAGTGAGTGTTGCATGTACATCTGTTTCACATGTTTGACTCATTTGCATGCAGACTTGGTTCCCTGCCCCTCAAGTAGATGTACTCCGATTTGAAGGAAGCTCCCAGTTAGTCGACTCTTAGGACATGCTTTTGGGCAGGCAGTGGGTCTCTTCTTGATTTCCCCCACAATGGGGCCCCAGAACCCACATGGGGAACTTTTATTTAATAATCTAGATATTTAACAAGTCACAACACGAGTAAACCAAATATGTAACAGGAACAAATTGAATGCAGAGAAAATTTTGAATTTAAATGAACTTATAGGGTCATACTTTTTCATGGTTGGTTGGTTTCTGTGGCTATTGTTTTTTTTTTGTTTTTTTTTTTTCAAGATGAGGTAGCCAACCCCAAACACAGCCCTACCCTTATTGGCCTTAGTTACTATTCTTTGGACAGGATGCAAGGTGAAAATACTTGAGAACAATAATGACTAATTTGCACTGGAACCCACAGAGGCATGGAAATTAAGGCAAACCATAAAATACATGGATAAGGAAGCTGGAGAGTAAAGTTAAAAAGATTGAGAAACATGGGGTAAACTGCAAAGAATAAGATGACTTAGTGTGAATTAGTTGAGGGCCTATGCTCAATTGGGCGATAAAGGGAAGAAGAAGAAAAGGCACATAGACAGGAATGAGATTTTTAAAAAAGCATGGGGGGGGGGGGGGGGGGAATAAGGTGAGCTAAAAATGATGATAAAGAAGTAGCTGACTTGGTAAAAAACTTTTTTTTCTGAATTACTTAAGATGACACATGATGGTAGTGCTGTATGTTGGTTTGGTTTCATCATCCTGCTTTCGTTTTATTATGTAACTTTATTTCAGAGTGAAATCTGTGAAAGAGCCGAAATCTAAAGCTGCCAGACTTTTGAACAGGACCAAAATGAAGCCATCAGCAGCCACTGCCAAAAATATCCCGCCACAGCAAATTTTGCCGAAAAGTTTGGGCCAAACACAAAGCTTGCACATTCAGACCGACGCCTCAGGTTGCTTGTTTTTCATTTCCAAAATGACATCCAACAGTTCCACATCCCAAGCTGTACAAACCATCAATAGATCCAGTATGACCAAGTCAGCGGCAATACAAACAACTTTAGATTTCAGTCCTGGGCATATTGTAGCTCTGAATCCAACCAGAAGACTGTCTACTGGTATTCAAACAGTGCGGCCAAAAATTGGTAATCTAAATGTTGCTCAGACCCAAACTGGAGATTCCATTCTTCAGCAAGCCATGAAAAAAGCCAGCATTCCTGTTTTGAATGCTAGCAAAGGAACCCAGAAATCACAGAGTGGTCACAAGAGAAAGAAGCAGCAGAAAGTATCTTGCACGGCAGGATCTCAAACGTTGTATTCTGTGACAGCAGTCAAACAAGGTAAAATTGAGTGCCCAGGTTCGAACCAGGCAGTGCTACTGCTACAGCAAACAGTAGCAATGTCCCCTGCTGGGATAGCTCAAAGTGGGACGAGCCAGAATATTGACTTTATGTCGACAATGTCCACACAGACACATCTGAGCTGTGTTTCTGAGCAAATATTTCCAAAACTTTACAGTTTTGAATCTGGCATTCAGTTGCAGGACTGCCACACACAGACTCCCACCGATCCCCCGAGCTGTAATCAGGTGGCTTCCTTTGATCTGGACCAGACCATAATTCCCAGGGGCTTTATACCCAACAGTGACCAGGTCACTCAGACTAGGTCAGATTATTTTAGCATTGATCAGGACACACAAACTGGCAACACAAACACCACACAAACTGGCAACACAAACAATGTGTATTTTAATAGTACACCACTGCCTTTTACATCAATTCAGGACAGTCAGACTCAAACAGCCTTAGTTTCTTTAAATTCTGCTGTTATTTACAGTGATCACAATCAGAGAGAGTTAACCGGCATCACAGATGTCACCCAGGTTCAAGATCAAAGCACTACTTGTGAAGGATTGTTACAACTTGGCGGAAGAAGTGATGACACAGTGAAACGTAACCTGGAGAATGATTCTTTCCTGTGTGCAGAACAACACCCAGAGAAATCTGTTAGTAGAAGTGAATCAGATGATCTGACTGGTTATCTGATGGAGGTGATGGCTGGTGACAGTTCTGCAAGAGAAGAGTCTAGAAATCTGCAAGAAATCACCAAAATGGGAGAGGATTTATGTGGAAGTGCTCAAAATACTGATGATAAATTATGCTTACCTACCATCAGTATGGAAACCCAGACACTAGGCAGCTTAGGAATGGACTCCATGACTCAAACTGTAGATGAGTTTGGATGGGATATGAGCACCCAAACAGCAGACTTTCTTGCATGGGACACGGGCACCCAGACGGCAGACTATCTACTGACAGACATGATGACCCAGACAGGAGATGATTTGTTGGAATTTCTTACAAATGACACTCATACACAAACACTAGATGATTTTTGCATGAACCTATTACCTGATGAAACTTCTACATCAGATGCAATGACTGAAGTATGCTTGGATGATCTCTTTGAAGATCACGCTAGTACACAAACTATTTGGGACACAGAAGATAAAATGTTTGATTTGCACGGAAGCTCCTTTTCACTAGATGGATCTCACGAAAGTTCTGAACAGGGCAGAGGGGCACACCTAGACTCCTGCTTCATGAAAGAACATACTGATAGTCAGCCAGGGTACTCTGGCGCAAGTGAAAGAAAATTGGGAAAAGTTTTGTTATCAACTCACATGACTTTTCCAGACCTTGGACGAGAAGTGGAAACAGCAGAGACACAGACAGCATATGATCCTTTATTTTATAACTTACAGAATGAAGACCCCATGCCTCTTAGTTTGAACAGAACAGTCAAGTACCTGGAGTCCTCTCACACCCAGACCAATCAGGACCCGATGCTGCCTTCAGTATGCACAGATGATGATCCAGTGCCTTTCTTCAGTGGTGGTGAGGAAGCAGAAATGTCAGAGACTCTAACTAGAATGGATTACACTGGTAGAGAAACAGCAGAGTGCCAGACACCATGGGACAGTGACTGGACCTCCATGGGGACAGCAGAGACTCAAACCAGAACAGGATATGGTGGTAAAGAAACAGCAGAGTGCCAGACACCATGGGACAGTGACTGGACTTCCATGGGGACAGCAGAGACTCAAACCAGAACAGAATATGGTGGTAGAGAAACAGCCGAGTGCCAGACACCATGGGACAGTGACTGGTCCTCCATGGGGACAGCGGAGACTCAAACCAAAACAGGATATGGTGGTAGAGAAACAGCAGAGTGCCAGACACCATGGGACAGTGACTGGACTTCCATGGGGACAGCAGAAACATCAGAGACTCAAACCAGAACAGGATATGGTGGTAGAGAAACAGCAGAGTGCCAGACACCATGGGACAGTGACTACTTTTAACGCAGATATTCAGAAAATGGCAAGTAGCCTGTTGCCAGAGAACTGATGGTGCCTTATGCAATTAATTGTGTGTGCAGCTACTGATCTGTTGCAACTGCTACTTCCATCATTGATGAACTGCATTCTTGCTATTGGCTTTGTTGAGACTGCAGTGTGTGTCAGTTTTTGTTTGTTTCTTTAAAAAAGGCGCAGTGATGGACATTCTGTGTGGTTTTCGTTGGCACATGAATGGTTGCAACTATGGGGTGACCTGTTTGCTGTGAAGATTATGAAGATTACTGATTACCAATGGGAAAGTGAGTGGACCTCTATGTGGACAGCAGAAAATGCAGACTGTTAATTCTGACTTCTTTGGTATCTCCTCTGGTGGTACTCAGACCCAGTCATCTTGGGTTAAGCAAATAATTTATTTGTATTAACACACGCTGCAGTGCATACTTTAAGAGCCTTCATTGTGTTGTCGATAGATGTGATCTAGTTTTATGTAGCAGGTCCTTTGCAGAATGTCTCTCTCATCAGGGTCTGCCTGAAAGAAACTTGTATCTCTTGCCAGGCTCTCCCACCTCATTCACGTTCATACCCAAGGAGTCACTGATATTCCATACCCATTTTCATGCTGGTCGACCCCTGCCCCTCCTTCATGGCACCATGCCTTTTGGGATTATTTATTCCAGTCTGCTATGGTGCCTGATATAGCCAAAATATGAATAGGTGATACAAATTTGATATTATTTTTATTTCTTGGAATTGACATTGTGGATTTTCTTGGGCTGCCAAGTATTAAGTCTATTTTTTATTTTTTTTTATTTTTATGTTTTTATTTCTTTTTTTAGTTTTTTCCTCAAGGATCACTGTCTGTAGGATTAACAACTCAAGGATGAGAATCATACCGGTTTAAATCCCGAAAACCTTGTTCAGCCATATAGCAGTTATACTGGGGCACCATAAAATGCTAATGAAGTAACCTGTAGGCCAGTGTGGGTGGATTTCATTAGTTAAAACTTTTTTTAAGTTTTAGATGCAGCTCACAAATGATTCTTGGTTGAAAATTATAATCCAAGGACTGATTTCAGGCAACCAGTTGCAGTAGCATCCAGTGTCATATGTCATTGTTGATTTTCTTCTTCTTCTTCGCGTTCACTAGCTGTACACTCTGGCAGAAAGATCTGGTTGTTCGTCCATTTCTGAACTGCTGTCCTGCTCCAGATCCTGAGTGCTGCGTGTGCATCAGTTTTACATATCTGATTCACTTTAATGCAGACTGTTAGTTCCTTACCTCTCAGACAGATGCACTCCGACTTCAAAGGAAGTTTATTTTCTAATCCTATGCCACTTAACCTTCTCACCCCGTAAATGTCAGTTTTGCTGATTTTGTGATGTCACGACAAATTTGGGCAATGGTCACAATGCTTGTATAACATCTTTGCTACTGGTTGCAGCTGCATAGTGTAATTATATTTACTTAAAACACATTCTAAGCAACTATTTGAGGTAAAGAAATTGCTGTATCCCCACACCACACCCCTGAGATGTCTTTAAAATGTCACTTTACTCCATGTGGCTAACAGAACCCAAAAAACTGTTGTTGTTTTTTGTATTAAAAAAAGCAGTTGATTTTGTTTGTTCTTTTTTGTCAAGTATGAAGTTGATTCATTGGGTTTGTGGTTTTACTAAGCAGTTTTTATAGTCGTCCCCATGTGGGATGCAATTTTTTGTTTTTTGAAGCCCCACCCTGGCTTTTGCAGGGGGCCGTGAATATAGCTGGGCCATAAATATATGGCCTCACGGCTGAAAGGGGTTTCTGGGACCTCTCCACAGGTGATTGTCACATACTGCTGATGTCACGTGCCTTGGTAAGGGTTGTCCCTGATAAACCAATCAGCACTTTGAAGTAGTTATAAAATGTTGAGATGTTTGGCTCGCATGGTCTAGGCGGAATCCCGTAGCTCCAATAAACATCCAACCTACTTCAGGGGTGAGGCGACACAAATTATGCCACTACAGAACATAAAATATTCCTAGGCACTACTTGGCCTGACCTCCTCACTACTTCAATTAAGCCCCCAGACTAGATAGTATCCTAATCTAGTCAAGATAATACAGTTAAACATATAGTATACAGGGTTCATAGCCAAATTTACCAATCAATTTCAAGGCTTTTCAAGGTCTTTTTCAAGGTCTCCTTAGTTTTTTTCAAGGTTGTCTCGGTGTAATACTAATACAAGATTTTTGCCTTGTTCAAGGGTGTACTGAGCACACAAGGTACTTCATTTGTGCCACATGTGTTGGTATACCAGCACAGATATCATCATCATGTAGCATTTCCTTTATCCTGACAAAAAAAAACTCGGTCTCTCACCAGCTCTCCCGCCTCATGTACTTTTTTATACTCAAGGAGTCACTTATATCCTGTGTCCATCTTCGTGTTGGTCGGCCCCTGAGCTTGATATAGTGTTTGAAATTTTTTTTAGGGCTTGGTGGTAGAGGGCAGCAAACTGAAGTCCTGTCTGTTCTGGACCTGGTACCTGAGAGGGTTAGGGGAGAGAGAGAGAGTCATGAAGAGAGAGGAAGACACATGCTGAGGTAGGCTGGGAGAGACAGTGTAAAGATTGGACAGATGAAAGTAGAGAAAAGAAGGAAAAGAAGTCTGGGGAAGGAGGAAAAAATGAGAGGGAGGGATGGAGACATGATGAGGAAAAGTGGGGAAGGGACAGCGAAAGACAGAGAGGGAGACAAATACAGAAAGAGGGAATGCAGATACAGAGATGGGCAGATGAAAAGAGAAGGAAAAAAGGAACGAAACAGAGATATGGAAGGAGGAAAATATGACAAAGAGTTGAAAGAAGGGAGACAGAGGGAGAGAGAACGGACAGGGTGAGAAGCAGATGCAAGCAGAGAGAGATGTAGACATAAAGGGACAGCACAGAGAGGCAAGCAGACAGAGGGAGAGAACCAAAGAAAGAGAAAAAAGGCAGAGCAAGGAGAATGGGAGGGAGGTATACAAAGAGGAAGTGATGAAGGGAGGCAAACAGACATAAAGCAAGAGAGAGAGAGAGAAAGGTGGGTAAGGAAGGCAGTGACAAACACAGATTAAGAGAGGGGGGAAGGAAGGGAGACAAGATACCTCAAAGAAAAAAAAACAGCCACCCACTCCCCCCCCCCCCCCCCCCCCCCCCCCCACACCCCCCCCACAATTTCAAGTGTAGTGGACACAACCACTAGGAAAAGATAGTTATGGGGCAAAAAAAATATGTAGATGAACCAGGTAAAAAAAAAATGGGGGGGGGGAGAGAATGAGAGAGGGGAGCGGGTAAGGAAATCTAGAGAAAATGAAAAGACAGGATGGAGAGGAGACAAAGAAGAGATGGGACAGGAGAAAGGGCAAGGAAAGGAAGAGAGGAAGAATGGAGAGAGAAAGGAGAATAGTAGAAGATCAAAGGAAAGAGAAGGGGTGAGAGAAGAAAGGTAAGACACGGTTGTGGGGGTGGGGGGTGTAAGAACAATGAGTGCCCAAAATAGAATTAGGAAATCTCTAAGTGAGGCCACTTTTCCGGTTCCTACCCTCTCCCAATGTGAATGTGGCCGTGGTCCAAAAACAACAGTGCTAACCCCTACTGCCCCTTGCTTGTCCTATCTGTGTGTGACAACAATAATTCAATTTCTTACACTTAAGGCTGGTGACCTGAGAGCCAAGGTCATTTTATGAAGAAAAAAAAAAGTCCAGGGGATCCCAACCCACCACTGGTGGAAAATAGAGAAGTTTACCCACACACATAAATAGGTCAGGGCAGCAGTGGACTTCATTTTATTTCTGGTTTTCCAATTACAGAAAGGAGGGGAGAGAGGAGGTGGTGGAAAGTGGTGTAGAAGGCTGAGGTGGTAAGGGTGAGACAGAGGAGGTGAGAGAATAAAGTTTAAGAAAATAAAGTGGGAATGAGACAGGGAGAGAAAGAAGGGAGTAAGAAATAAGATGAGATATAGAGGGAAGAAGGTAGCAGGAAGGGGTGCACTCCCTCCCCTAGGTGTCATCAATGTGGGAGGAGAAAAAGGGGGGGGGGGGGTGACGGCAAATGTGTGTTTTTAAAAGTACACATATATTTAATGTGTGGGAGGGGGGAATGATGGACATGAAATGTTCTGCACTAGGCAACACATAACCTTATACACCAACTGAAGGTATGGAGAAAGAAAGAAAGAGAGAGAGAGAAAGAGAGGGAGGGAGTGAGGGAGAGCGGCAAATACAAAGAGAGAGAGGAAAGCAGTGACACAGACAGTCAGAGAGTGAGGAACAGGTAGGACAAAAATGTGAGGGGGCGGGAGGGGAGATGGACAGAGATTAAGGCCCACTAAGAAAACAAACACATCAAAAGAAAATATCCACCATGTTCCCACAGAATGCCCCCCCCCCCCCCCCAATACAACTTCCTGTGTACTTGAGTTGCTAGGAAGAGTTATGGAGCCGCACATTTACTAAACATTTAAACAAGAAATAAAATAGGAAAAAGGGGGAGGGGGGACAGGAAATGAGAGAGTAAAAGAAAAGATAGAGAGAAAGAGAAGAAGATGAAGATCAGAAGGAGGGTTAGAGACAATGCAGGAGACGGGAAGGGAAGGAGCAATAGGTAGAAGAGTGAAGAGGGAGGGAAGAGAGAGAGAGAGAGGGGTGAGACAACAGAAGAGGGAATCTCGGGGAATTACAATACTGATCGCCAAACACACTGTAAAGATAAATCCAGGCCAAAAATAGAACTGGGAAATCCAGCTGCAGTCACTTTTCTTAGCCCCAATGCCATCTCTAATTAATAGAGAAGGCCGTGCTTAGCCCCCACCACGGCGACTCTATTTATAAATACAACTGCACCGAGCCCCACCATCTCCCAATGTAATCCTTTCTAGAAACCACGGCCATAAACGATTTAAACTGTTCATTCTGCCGGACTCGCTAGAAACAAAGGCCCACACACACGCGCGAGACGGAATCTGCTACTTCCCGCCCCATGCCACACCGCTGCTGTCTGCATGTTTTCATGATCAACAAAGCCCGCCCTCCCCTGGCCTTTAACAAGCCATTTCGGCTGAAAATAGCCAATAATCAGCTGCCCTCACACCTGAAACGACCATACAATGAAAGTAGCCAAAAACTAGCCAAATGGCCAAAAAAGCCAAATGGCTCCCCCAAAATTGCCTGTGCTTGAAAAACACAGGATTTCTGACGATTTCATTGCCGCGGTCAAAATTCACGGCTTTTCAAGGTCGGAATATCTTTTATAAGCTAAAAATCCCGGTTTTAAGGTCAACGAAAAAAATCCCGGTAATTTCCCGATTTCCCGGTCCACTACGAACCCTGAGTATATCAATACTGCACACACTCCAGGCAACTAGGAACAGTGAAGGATGGACACTAAACCAAGAAGGTAGATATAATAAAACATATTGTAATAAGTTCAACCAATACAAGGATAAGGCAAAAGAATTCAATGAAATCAATGAAACTGGGGAGACAAAAATAATTCATATATGACTAGAACAAGGGTTGCTCCCAGTAGCAGCCAAAGTCATCCTTGCAATGTTGTGGAATCATGGCACAGTGGACTAGGCACTTCGGATTAAGAGTGACCACAACCTCTGGACTATACTCATCTGTATCCAAATCCGGTCTACTGAAGCACATCCATTCTGCATCTGGAATGGTTGGCACCAAGGTACTTCTTCTTATTCACCAGCTGTACACTCTGGCGTAAAGTTGTGGTTGTTCGTCCACTTCTGGACTGCAGTCCTGCTCCAGAACCTGAGTGTTGCATGTGCATCAGTTTTACAGATCTGATTCAATTGAATGCAGACTGCTGGTTCCTTGCCTCTCAGGCAGATGCACTCCGACTTCAAAGGAAGCTCCCCAGTTAGTCGACTCTTACGACCTGCTTTTGGGGAGGCAGTGGGTCTATTCTTGTTTTCCCTACAATAGGGCCCCGGAACCCACACGGGGAGGGGGGGACCAAGGTACTGTTCAGTTCCTCTATACATAAACTGCTACTTAATGTTTACATTCTAACACAGAATTGTCTCAGGTACACATTGAAATTAGGGTCACAAATACTGTAGACCAAAAAGGGCAGGCAGCCTCTGGCTTCACCATACAGCACCCCGGGTGGAACTCTCCCACTGGTACTGTTGGTCGCTACCTGGCCGTAGGAACAGATATGTCGGCAGACCCTATGGTAGTATCTTCTGGCAGTTGCAGTTAAGGAATACTGGTGATGTAGATATGTGGTGATTGCCAACCTGGCCTCCAGTGAACTTATAATCCCAAGCTCAGAATTCTTCCAGGAAACCTAACTCTTCCTCAGATTTTGACAGAATTAAGCACAAAGGCAAAACACATCTGCTGTCTCTGGAAGCTAGATCGAGAATAGTTCTGACATAAGCGTCTCTTTCGAAGAAAGTGAGGTAAAGATTAATACACCCCAGGGGGTGATCTGCCCATAAGACTTTTGACAATAATTACCAATGAATCACTCACTTACGATTATAGATTCAAAACTATAATGTTCCCAAGAGAATCAGGACATATAGGAGTATTTAACTCGACCCAAAGACCTATATTTACAAAAGATGGACTATATACCTATAGGGGCAGGTCGATTTTCAAACTTAGCCTCATCTGCATAGAGGTGATGGGATGTAGATGAGTCCAAGGCGAAGGGGTGGCTTGGACAGTTACACAACAGTGATCCTTATCTGCATAGTGGCACCGGGTGTGTATCGCTTGTGTGATGTCCTGGTGGGATACAACTACTTACTAAGCAGTTTAAAAAAACTTTTTAGTGACTAGGCTGCTACAGTGATGCAGTGGCTCGTTGGCTTGCATGTCTGCTCAAGTGGTCACAGGTTGTAACACACAAGGGGAGCTAAGAGCTGATATTATTAGAGCAAGGGGAGCTAAGAGCTGATATTATTAGAGCAAGGGGAGCTAAGAGCTGATATTATTAGAGCAAGGGGAGCTAAGAGCTGATATTATTAGAGCAAGGGGAGCTAAGAGCTGATATTATTAGAGCAAGGGGAGGCCTAGGAAAAAGGTGGATCGGTGACATTAAAGAATTTGTATATTCACTAAGAACAACAACAACAACAACAACAAAAAGCAAAGCATACAATGACTTGGCATGCATTGCTTGAAGACCTTTGCTCCACTTGTGATGACCCTGCTTTGCATGGTCTCCACGATTACATTGTGGCAAGTAGAAAGTCCGTGCAATAAGTGACAGCACGAGATACTTGTGGCTAGTCGAGTAAGCGAGGGGAAGCCCGAGCTAGACTCGTGGTCAGTGGATCAACGGAAGTCGAGGAAGACGGTTGCATTTGGTTGAAGAGGTCATCTTTATGTCGCGCGAATGGTTAGTGTTTGAATTTGTCGCGAGTGATAGAAGTGTGATTAATGATTGAAGCATGGGGAATAAATGTAATTGAATAAACTGACAGCATGTACAAAGGAGCTGAGTGGAGTTTGTGTTTTCAACCCTAGATGTTAAAGTCGGTGCAATCCAAGAATAATTTCAAGTAAAGCCTTGAATCATTTCACACTAGAGGATACAGGGAGGGGAGAAAATAAGAAATGAGGTAACACCTCATAAAATGAAATTCAGAACAATATAATTTGCTTAAAACATTTAGATTTATTTAACTACATGTCAAGTAAATTTATTCAAATATGTGATACACATAATCTGCTATAAAACCTCACTTTGTGATCTGACATGTGATGAGTTTCAAAATAGCGGTGATAACCAGTGAATTCTTCAATACTCCAGAAATGTGGGACATGATTTACACCTTGTACAAATAACATGTGCTGGTATGATTACACACTGTACAGATAACATGTGACAGCATGAAAACACATTATACTGACAGCATGAAGGCATTCAAATAAAACATTTCTATATTCCATCCAGTTTGAAACATTAAGTAAATATCCTATCCAGTATGAAGCAACACATCACCCACACACTCCAATATCCTATCCAGTATGAAGCAATACATCACCCACACACTCCAATATCCTATCCAGTATGAACCAATACATCACCCACACACTCCAATATCCTATCCAGCATGAAGCAATACATCACCCACACACTCCAATATCTTATCCAGTATGAAGCAATACATCACCCACACACTCCAATATCTTATCCAGTATGAAGCAATACATCACCCACACACTCCAATATCCTGTCCAGTATGAAGCAATACATCACCCACACACTTCAATATCTTATCCAGTATGAAGCAATACATCACCCACACACTCCAATATCCTAACCAGTATGAAGCAAATCATCACACAGGCCCCAATATCCTATCCAGCATTTTTTTAAAAACATCACACATACACACACACCCCTATCCAATCCAGTATGAAACAATATGTTACATGCTCCAATATACATTTCAGTGTGGAACAATACATCAGCATATACAATCTTGTGCCGATTGGTCTATAAAAAATATAGGTCTAGCCCTATATGCCTAAGGGTGTGGAAAAGGGACCTTTACTTATTCTTCTCAGAAACCACATCTCTGCAGCAATTATATGGTGTGTTTTTTTTTCCAGCTTGTGTGTTTATTGTCCATGTTTTGCATCCACATAACAACACAGGTTCTACAAAGCACTTTAAGACTCTTTTCCTCCTTACAAGTGACAATACTAAAATATACCTTAAAAGAAAATGATGGTGACACAGCAAAAACACATCTGAAAACATTAGAAACCACAATAACACATGACAAAATGTTATAGCTTATTGTTATCACTGTCTTCGTTCTTTTTGCTACTGTCCTCAGCCTTCACATCATTCGTCTCTTCATTCTGGTCATCAGGAACGACGGAATTGTAATGCTCTCCCAAAAAATAAACATGGCGGTGGTAACTGTAGATAAAAGAAATATGTGATGAAAAAAGTGAAATTTTGAGGAACTAAGCATTTAAAGCACCAGATACAGATTTGTATGCCTTCTTCGCATTCACCAGCTGTAAACTCCAGCGGGGAAAGTCATTTTTAGACTTTGGTCCTGTGTCTTCTTCTTCTTTGCATTCACTGGCTGTAAATTACAGCAGAAAGTTTCGATTGTTCATCAACCTCTGGACTTTAGACTTTTCCCAGAATCTGAGCGTTGCATGCACATCCGTTTTACAGATCTGACTTGTCTGTATGCAGACTGTTGGTTGCTCATCTCTCATGCAGATGCATTTTGACTTCAAAGTAAATACCCCCTAATAAACTGCTTTTTAGGACATGCTTCTTGGGGTGGGGTGGGGGGTTTAAAACCCCAAAATGGGGCCAACCCACACAAGGAATCTGCAGCAATGAACCTTAAGGGCCCGAAATGCAGAAAGATGATAGTCTATCTGATGAGAAATAAGTTGCTAGTGTTTCTTCCACATATTTTCGATACTTCACTGGCAGCAAACCCCAGCCCAGTGCCCACATGGAGCACTTCTTGCTATAAATACCATTAAATAATATAACTGCAAGACAATGATTTTTACACATAATTGGCTTGTTAACCTAGATGTGAAATACGAGCCGAGTCAATAAGTCACAAATGGTTATGAGATGGCAGGAAAATGTAGTTAGTGGTTTCTAAAGGTGACAGAAACATCAAACTTCATGTCTCCGCTCGTTAACTCGTGCCAGGTGTTGCATGAGCATTTGCAACACAGAAACAAAATGGTGACTGTACCCTCGAAGAACAATCTGTTGCAGGTTGGTTTTTTTTTTTTTGGCCAAAAGGCCTGCCTACAAAGGATTTTCACAAGGAAATGCTTCCTATTTATGCTGAACGCCCGGCTCTCTAGCATAGTTGGCTAAACCGGATTGCCCGGAGACCGGGTGACGAACTCCTTGTGGTCCGGGTTCGCTCCCAGGGGTAGGCAAAAAAGCCATATTTCTCCCAGATTTACGGTATTTACAATGGAATCAAGGCTGAAAGGTTGCGATATCCATAATATTGAGCCTAAGGGTTGACAACTCATGGCTTCTGGATACTCAAACAAACAAACAAACATTTAAGCTGAACAGGATTATTACTGGGGAAGAATCATGAGTACATGACTACCACCAGCCCAATCAAAGCGTGCTTCAATTTAATGGAAACATCCTTCTTCGTCTTGTGTTCAAAACTTCAAGGTTGTGCCATCAGCAGGGAAGGTTATTTTTCTTTTTCTTTCTCATTTCCTCTTTTACCACTGTGAGTGTCGAGGGAGATATAAGGTTCTGTTTCTAGCTCTTCTGGCCGCCTCGACCATAGACACATCGTGCTGTTGTAGAGTTTTTCTGATGTTATCCTTCCATCTTGTTCTTGGTCTACCTCGTGCTCTATGTCCTTCTACTCTTTCCATGTATGCTTTGTATGGTATGGTGTCACAAGGCATTCTCTCTAAGTGGGCAAACCATTTTCACTTGCTGTCTTCGTATGTAATTTAGAATTGGTTCTGTGCCGACTTTTTCTCTTATGATATCATTCCTGATCTTATCTCTTATTGTCACTCCTACAGCTCTTCTCAGACATCTGATTTCCATGGGAAGGTTATGCTGACAGTTTTCTGGGACTGTCAAGGAGTGCTTTTAACCAATTTAAAAAAAAAGAGATGACAAAATGAATGCTGATTCATACTGTAAAATTCTACTGATGCTTCATGGTGCAATTGGAAAAAATGTCACGGCCTGCTGACTACAGGAGTGCTGCTCCTTCATGATAATGCCAAACCACATACAGCTCTGTTAAGTCAGGAGAAAATTAACTATCTAGGGTGGAAACTTCTGGAACATCCACCTTACAGTCCCAACTTAGCCCCTAGCAATTTCCACTTTTTTTTTTGTTTCAATGAAAACACACCTTGGCGGGAGACATTTCGTGAATGACGAAAAGGTTGAATGTGAATTGAAAATGTGGTTTAGAACACAGAGCACTCAGTTCTAAGCAGCATGTTTAGGAGGACTGATAAAATGAAGGGACAAGTGCATCAATGTTGGTGGAAATGATGTTGGAAAATAAAACAAGAGTGTATGTATAAAAATAAACAGTTTTCAAGTTATTGTCTTTATTTTATTCTTTTTTAAACAACCACTTGTGACTTACTTAATGACTTTTCTACATATGGTCTCTACAATACTGCCCAAGCTTTGTGCTATGCAGAAGAGGAACTTCATCCCTGGGTTTAATTGAAAACTCCAAGCTCAATTACATTTGCTAGAGAGTTACCATCTTCTGAAAGGACTTAAATGGCACTGATTTGTTCAAATAAGTTAGAGTTAACATTCTTATTTCCCTCACATAGCACACTGGGTCCATATGGACAGAATTTGTCAATGTTAATAAATTATGCTTAGCTTTCTAATGACTTTTTAGGTTGGGTCACCCATGACTCAGCTGGCTTTTCAGGGTTAATTGGTACCACTATGCGCTGTGGTTCTCATGCTTCCCTATGGAACACTCGTGCAGAGAGAGAAAAGTAGCAACACAAATACATTCCCACAGAACAAACTTACACAAGTATTAGAGGTTTTCCTTGCATGTTTTCTCCAATAATCTGAGGTGAGGTGTCTGCTTGTAACACTTCGATTGGGACTTGTAATATCTCAGACAAGGCTCTCAACTGAAATGTATAACGAGCAACAAACACAACATGAGACAACGGTAGCTGGATGTTCATTGGATATGGAATGTTGAAGTAAGAATCCGCATCATAGCACTCAGAACACTCCCATAAGTGCTTCGTCCCCCTTCTTCAACAGCAAATGAAGAGTTAAAATTCTGATTGTACCAGTAACTCTCTGATTGTACATTTGTCTTCCCTTTCCCCTTGAGTGTTCAGCATCAGCCCGATCCCCTGGTAACCTCCGCAGTGCCACTCTCCTCAGACCGTAATGATCTATTTACGCCTCTCTTGCCCCCAAAGGGTCCTCAAAACATCTAGCTTGTCATACATCAATACACCACCAAGTGGTGCAAAACCAGCCTGTCTATCTGCCTGCTTGTTTCTCAAAACACCAGCATACCTGGAGAAAATATCCAAAGGATGCTAGCTACCCAGGACCACTGAAATGATGCTTGCCACTCTGCACAGAGCATGTCTGTCTCCCCTTTCCAAGTTACTTACAGTTACAACCTGTGTGTAGAGCTGATTCTCAATCCAGGGAAAGGCAGCAGTGACTGCCTCCACCTCCATTCTCGAACTAGACATTGTGATATATGCCAGGCTTCTCTGCACTAAGTGACATCCATTCGCTTTTTTCTATAAACCTCCATGTTCTTAGTCTGCCTCTCAACACACAGCCATCAGTATAGATCACTGGATATGGATATGAAGACAACACTGAAATATTTGGCTTTTATTAGAGGTTACTCCACATGTGCTGTGAGTCCCATGCCTTCTCATAGCCAATATAACACTATCTTTTGGAAAGACAGAAAGGTGCCAATCAGTCCAACCAGGTATTGGGTTCATGTGTAAAAAGACTGCCCAGAATCTTCTCATGCTGTCTTCTTCAATCTCTATTTCTGCAAATATTTCCAGTTATCAAATGTTCCTGTTTCTTTCTTTTCATAATATGGCTAAAAACTGATGTCCCAACAGCTACTGGTAAAAATACACCTTCTCTTCGACATGACCTAAATGACTTAATAATCATCCGCAAAAAAATAAATAAATAAAAATAATAAAGAAAGAAAAATAACTTCACTGGTAGCATCAAAAAGTTCCTGGGGCTGCTACCTAAATCATGCAGTGTCTAGAAAGCAGAATGTTTGACCCTATCCTCTATGGCTGACTATCTGGAACCACAAGCTAACCGTTACCTAGTGTTGAAAAGTATAAATTCGACTCATGACCTGTTAGTTGGTATGGAACTCAGTCATAAGTCAAGGAGATCCTGTAATTTGTATAATTCATTTTTCTCTTAATGGAAATTATAAATTACCTCTACTTGTCCTCCCCACACCGGTGAGTTGGCTGTTTTATCACAGTACTTCTCAAACTCCTCTGAGAAAGAAACATAGTAAATAACAAAACAAAGTAAAGTAACAATTAGGTAACAAATTTTCTTTATCCTTAAAACCCTAGGACAGAAGTTAAGAGGGTTTATGGTCAGAGCAGATTTCACAAACAATAAAGAAAAATTTTTCATAATACAGTTATTATATCTAAAGTCACTGTTAGTTTAAACTACCAAATTTGGCATGTTATTGTTATGGTTCACATTACTGTGATGTCTGTCACTTTCGACTCAACACATCCGATTTCAGCACATCCTAAATTAGTCATTTTATGACATGCTTGTTCAGAGGGTAGTGATCCTTTTCTTTTTTTGCTTCCCTCAAAAATTGAGGCTCCAGAACCAAGACATGGAAAATAATAATCTTATCTGACAGAAGATACAACAGGGCTAGAGGAGTTAATGTGATAACCGAAATAGATGCAGAGAGTCAGCCCTGTGGCCCCCTAGAAAGCCGGTTTTACAGGTTTTTGATGTCATGATATATCTGGGCAGTGACAGTTATTCTTATATAACAGCTTTGGTTGCAAGGATAAAGTGTGTAGATGTTGGTGTAGTGGTTGCAAGGATAAAGTGTGTAGATGTTGGTGTAGTGGTTGCAAGGATAAAGTGTGTAGATGTTGGTGTAGGATTATTATTTTTTTTTAAATTCATGATACTGTTTGGGATAAAAATAGGTTATTTTTGTTTGTTTGTTACTTTACTTATGGGGTTTTTGCTCTTGAACACATTCACTTCCTTAGTCCATTTGTTTCCCATTTCAGTGTCTGTTTGGTGATTACTTCTCCTCATAAAGGACTTTTTTCTAAAAATGCTTTTCAAAAAAAAAAAAATAAACAGTCCCTTCTCATTCAATGACACTTATCTGAAAATATTATTGGTACTAACTGTATGTTTTCTTGACTGAGTTTGTCATGCTGTACCTTATCAAGAAATGTTGAATTACTTACCTGCAGTCAGAATATCCCCACTGTCAGGATTGGTTAAGAATGGAAGAAAATCATCCCTGTGTGATCTGAGGTACTCGGCTGTTTTCTGTCTCAGTTCTTCAGTGGACATCTGTATTGAAATATGCACATGATGCTATGCTGTATGGTTAATTAATAATCAACATCACAATACGAGGGATATTCCCATAAGTGCTCCATCCCTATCTTCAGCAGCAATTCTGATGACACCAACAGTGTGGTTGTATATTCATCTCACCTTTCCCGTGAGTGCTATTCATCAGCCAGATCCCCTGGTCACTCCTTGCAGCACCATTCTCCTCAGACCATGATAACCCATCTGTGCCTCCTTACTATTCACTTGCCCCCAAATGGCCCTAACAACATCTAGCTTCACATCAATTCACCATCAAGTTGTGCATAACCAGCCAGTCTATCTGCATGTTCACTTCCGAATATACTGGCATACCATGGAGAGAATATCCAAAGGACACTAGCGACCCAGGACCTCTGAAGTGATGCTTGCCACTCTTCAGGGAGCATACTTGTCTACACCTTTCTCAGCATGCTCTGTGAGTCAGTTACAATTACCACGTGTGTGTACTTACCGAATAGTGATTTTCACTATTCGGCCGAATACGAATAGTGGGACCAACTATTCGGCCGAATACGAATAGTGTATCATCATCATCAGGTGCCTTGCCGACTGTCGTGGGCGATCATGCCTCTCCACAATCTGCTATCTCCTGCAGCATGTATCAGTTCGTGTGCTGACACCCTTCATGCCATGCAACAAGACTGTCAATAATCTTCTATCGTAGTCTTGCTCTATTCATCCTTCTACAGATCTTTCCAGTGGTCACCAAATGTTCCATTTTCCCTCTTCTCATAACATGGCTGAAAAATGACGACTGTCTCCTTCTGATGTCTGAGATTAGTTGTGTTTGGGCTCCCGCTTCTTTCAAAACCATCGTTCGCTCGGTCGTTCGTTCGATGAAATTTTAACGCACCTTCATATTCTCGTTAGCAGTATCTTCAAATTTGATTTGGGCGAAGAACCCTGACAGAACGAAAAATGCATGATCTCTCTCTCTTCCTCTCTCTCTCATTCTCACACACAAACACACACACACACACGAACACACACACTGCGGTTGGCATTTTATGCAGTTTGCACCACGCAAGCGGGTCGCAGTTTCTCCCGCTACGACAGACTTAGGCAATAGCAACTATTGTGTTAATGAGAGAGTTATTTCAGTCCATCACAGTGTATGCAGAAACTGGATTAAGGTAGCCACTATTCGTATTCGGCCCGACCGCAACTATTCGGCCGAATACCGAATAGTTGTTAGGCCCACTATTCGGCCCCGAAGCGAATACGAAGCGAATATTCGGTACAGGCCTAGTGTGTACAGCAGAAGGCTGCAGTGACTACCTACACCTCCATTCTCAAACTAGTTGCTGTGGTGTCACGTGCACTCAGCCAGTGATTTCCAAACTGTGCGCCGCAGCACCCTGGGAAGCCGTGACCTCTTCACGGGGGCGCAGCCTTATATCTGAAGATACAGGAGTTTTATTTGTATTTATCTCTTACACACGAATAGTCACACTTTTACTTAGGTTAGGGCGCTGTGGAAAATTATTTTTTTTTAAAAGGTGTTGCGTCTAAGAAAAGTTTGGGAAACACTGCACTAAGCGACATCTATTTGCTTGTGTTAAGAACCCCCATGAACTTTGTCTGCCTCTCAACACAGAGCCTTCTGTGTGTATGACTGTGTGTATGGTTGAACTTGTGATTCTGCAGTACCCGCTGGCCAGTCTTTGCACTGATGGCCCAATGTGATCAGAACCCTTCACAAGATAGGACGATGAATGAATGAACCAGATCACAATTCGGAACAGCACTTAGGGACTGGTTGAGATTCACTTTCAGAGCATATACACCCGGAAAGATTGATTCAGCAGGGAGCAGGCACAGGGTCTGGTTGCTTTCCAATGTGCAGGGGAAAAGAAAAGCAGACTTTAATCAGGTTGCAATGGAACATCATCAGTATGGGATATCTTCACCGCCTGCTGAGAAGGGGTACAGAGCATGTGTGGGAGTGCCCCAAATGTCAATTCTTGATTTATTCACAGGCAAATCAACATCAACACAGAGTTCAGCCCAACAGACAAGTGAAAGTAAAGACAAAGTGAAACTTTAAAGGCAGTGTGAAACCTGCTCAGTAAACATATACTGTGTATCCAAAGGCAACCCAATGTACTTTAATTTGTATCTTTATTAGTTTAATTGCCCATAACAATTTACCTGAAAACTGTGAACGGACAACTGGTGGCTGACTGAGGTGTACAAGCTGAAACAAGGGAAAAATCATTATTTTCAAGATGAATTTGTGAAACAGGGGAATATCACTGTTTTCAAGATGAATATGTATGTGAAATAGAGGAATATCACTGTTTTCAAGGTGAAATATTGTTTTCAAAAAGATTATCTGAAAAAAGGAAAATATTTTTTTCTTTTTGGCAAGATGATTATCTGTCTGAAATAAGCGAAATCATTTTCTTCCCCAGATAAATACATGTGATAACAAATAAAACTCAGAAATTGAAGGCTACCTAATATATTGGTAGCAAAAAGAATCATGGAAGGTGTAAGACTTTACAGAACATACATTAACATATCCACCTCAAACAGTAATTATGGTTAACACTTTTCAACCAATAGTAGTCAAACATCCCGGTTAGTTAAATGGTTTCATTCTGCAATCCTCACCATTTGAGTTGAGTTGAGTCAAGAATTGATATCACAGCACTCGGGGCATTCCCATGCATGCTCTGTCCTTATCTTCAGCAGCCACAGCTGGTTCAATTCGCATGGTGGACAGTTTTAAAAAAAACTGTTCTGATGGCTTTCAGACAGTGGTAAGAGAGTCTCACAGTGGAAAAAAACAGAGCTTCACAATGTAATATTCCCAAAATAAGCAGTGGATACATTGCAACCAACCCAACCTTCAATGTGGAGAAGACACAACTAATTTTGGTCAAAGATCCTACATTTACATTCTACTTGATTATCTAAGATAACAAATTCGGCAAAGAAAAATACAACTAATGATCTGAGATTTTACAACAAACTTGTTTAAAACCCACTCTACATACAACTTCAAAAAGACACCTGGCCTCAAGAGCGAAGTGGGCAGAGCAAGCTATGGGGAACCATAAAGGACCTGCTACTGACATTCGAGTTCACAGAGGCAACCCATCACCTGTATCTGAGCATATGGAACCTAACGCAAAGAAGAAGTTTAAAATGAATTTTCGAAGACACTTTTCTTTTTCTTAGCATTCACTGGCAGAAAATTATGGTTGTTCGTCCACTCTTGGACTTTAGTCTTGATCCAGAACTTACATGCATATCCATTTGACAAAGCTGACTTATTTGCATAGACCTATTTTTATGCAGACTGTTGGTTCCTTGCCTCTCAGGCAGATGCACTCTGACTCTGAAGGAAAAATGCCTAATCAGCCGCCTCCTACAACATGCTTGTTTGGTGGGGTGGAGGGGGGGGCATTAATCTGCTCTTTTTTTTAAATGGAATTTCACAACCCATATAGTACTTTGGACACAACCCATTTAGTACTTTGGAGAAACAAAGAATGCTAAACAATATACTTTTTTTTTTCACGTTCACAGGCTGTAAACTCCAGTGGAAAGACCTGGTTGTTCATCCATTTCTAGACTTTGGCTTTGTTCCAGGACCTGAGTTTTGCATGTGCATCTGTTTTACAGATCTGACTTATTTGTATGCAGACTGCTGGTTCCTTGCCTCTAAGGCAGATGCACTCTGACTTCAAAGGAAGCCCCCAATTAGTCGACTCTTACAACATGCTTTTTGGGGAGGCAGTGGGTCTATTCTTGTTTTCCCTATAATGGGGCCCCGGAACCCACACGGGGGACAATATACTTATACTGTCACCATAAGGCTCACACTAACAGCAACAACAATTCACAACACATATCTTCTTCTTCTTCTTCCTCATCGTTCCGAGGCCTCGAGGTTTATTGCTGCAAATATCATCTATCTGGTTGGCCTTCTCTTTTCAGTTGGTAACACCAAGTTTTTGCAGGTCTCTCTGTACATCATCTCTCCACTGCCTTCTTGGTCTGCTTCATGGTCTACAACCATTTATCTCCCTTGTGTTTACAGTTTTTACCTCTCTGTCATCTGACATTCTCTGAATATGCCCCAGCCATTTCCATCTATTAGCTATTATGATGCCAATGACCAATGGTGATGTAAACAGATTAACAAATATAAAAATTTAAAATATTAGATAAACACATTCAAATATATTGGATACAACATACCAATTACCATCAGCAGGAATCTGAAACAAACAGAAGAAAGAAGCGTTAACCATTAAAAAAACCATTTTAATAATTAAAGAAGATCATGAAAATTAAAATCTTGGCTTTTCATGGCACATTCTGCAGTTCACTGAGCCTGGTGGGTTTTGAAGAATCAGAAGTTGATTCCCTTGTAAGGTAATCTCATTAAACTGCCTCAAGATGCAGTGAAGTGTGTAAATATCATTAATTAAGCGATAAACTACAGAATCACGGAGTTGACTGTGGGGTATTATTCTGCCTAACAGATGCAGCAAATGTGTACAACCCTTAATTAACCCATAAACTACACTACAATATAGTTACATGTGAGGTATCTCATGATTCTCTCTAACAGATGCAGCTAATGTGTATAACCCCTAAACTACAAGACTATAAAATTACGTGTGAGGTATCTCATGATTCTCTCTAACAGATGCAGCTAATGTGTATAACCCATAAACTACAAGACTATATAATTACGTGTGAGGTATCTCATGATTCTCTCTAACAGATGCAGCAAATGTGTATAACCCCTAAACTACAAGACTATATAATTACGTGTGAGGTATCTCATGATTCTCTCTAACAGATGCAGCAAATGTGTATAACCCCTAAACTACAAGACTATATAATTACGTGTGAGGTATCTCATGATTCTCTCTAACAGAAGCATAAAACGTGTACAAGCATAATTAACCCACAAGACCACTGAGTTGCATGTGAGGCATCTTCTCGTATAGTTACATGTGAGATATCCCATGATCCTGCACAACAGATGCAGCAAATGTCTATATTCAAAATATGTGTGTGTGTCACATACAACAGAAGAAGAGAATAAGCAAATCAATCAGAAAGCCGCTAAAACCGGCACAAGATGATTACCAAATTATGGACAGACAGAGCAAGTCAGTATTCTACGCCTTAGAACAGGACACAATCAACTTCGCAACCACATGTACACAAAATTTAAGACTGGAAAATTAGCCATATGCATATGTGGACCGGCACCTGAGACAACAGATCACGTCCTCCAAGACTGTCCCAAAAAACAGCATATCAAGGTAAAACTTTTGGCCAAGAGAAATACCTGTGCACGCCAAACTTTATGGGTCGCTGATTGAATTACAAAAGACCCTGAAGTTTCTACTAAAGACAACACCACAGATATATATAATCTAATTCAAACGAACAAAAGAAGCAAAAAAAAAGAAAAAGAACATACAAGTCAGTGATCAATACCCCCATTAAAAAAAGGTACGCTATCTCCTCATAGGAAATAAAAAGACATGTGTGTTTACTCATCATCATCCTCATGTCTGCATGTACAGTACCTACTGTGCTTACCTCATACAATTTCAATCTCCTCTGCTTTAGCAATGCTTTGATTTTCGCCATCTCTTGATGCCTGGGTCCACGTCTACTAAGAACTTCTTGTTCTTTGATTTTGTCATCTCTCTCCCTGCCTTTGGCTTGCTTTTTATCCTGTAGTTGAGGCAGAGTGAAAATAATTAAATAATAAGTGATTTCCCATAAGCTGATATATTCTTCTGCTTTTAAATGTAAAACAGCTGCAGGACGACAGTGGCTAGCACCCTTGCCTGCTGGCCCAGGGATGTTTGAATCTTATAACTGGGGATTTGAAACACAGAAGACACAAAACGCAGACTGAAAAATTTATTACCTGGCACATGTCACTGTATCTCATCAGGTGCGTTCTACAGTGATAATTTATTAAAATGAATCCCATAAATGAATCCTTCTAGCTGAAAGACAAAGCTGACCATATTAAAAGTAACTGCCTTTTTTTTGGGGGTCTCCTTTGTTCAAACTCAGAACAAGAAAACGTTGCTTTGAAATTGGCGATTAAATTTTTGTTTAAAATGTGTTGCCTTGTGTTGCCAGTCCAGCATGCATTAGGTACAAGGCAATGTTATGGAAATGAAATCAGTCAGGGTTATATTTACACATGACTCAACGTGTGCTCAGTGACATATTACAATATGGGAATCCTGCTGTATACCCTTTTGGCTGGCAGAGTGATTAGGAATGCTAGGCTCTCATGCGGGAGACCCAGGTTTGAATCTTCGGTAAGGCTGTGAATACTTTTCTGTTGATGGCAAAATTAAGATTTTACTCTGACTGATCCATGGCCTTAAATCCTCAGGCTCGGAGACCCCCTCCCCCCCCCCTCCCAACTTATTTCTGCCATCTTTATTAAATATATGGAAATAAAGAATAACAAATATAGAATGGATAGATGAGAACGGAGTCTGTAAAGGACAGGCTGCTTAAATAAAGGGAAATAAAGATAGAAAAGTTCAGTAAGCAGAAATAAAGACACATAAATACAGACAGGTACTTAAGTAGGGGAAATACACACACAGTGAGTCAGAGTATGTAGACACAAATAAGGACATTAAAAAATATATGTTAGATAGGTGAGACATGGGGGGGGGGGGGGGAGAAATCACATGTACCGCATATAAACATACATACACATTTATTAATGAAGTATTATTATTATTAGTGAGTGAGTAAGTGTGAGTGAGAGAGAGAGTGGAGTGAGAAAGATAGACAGAAAGAGAACTTCAATAGTTTTATACAAACATAAATAAGAACACTTAAATCCCCCTCACTGCAGTCCATTCACCCAATGCTCCATCAATCAATAGATCCATCGACCCTGGCTTCACGCAAACAATAAATCTTTCAGTTTCCGAATATTACCGCGCGTGTTTTGTATCCCTAGACGGGAAGTCGGTAGAAAAGGGCAATATCACAACCATACTCCGATTCAGATTTTTTTAAACATAATGAAGTTCCAAACAAGATCTCATAGAAAGTACAGAATGTGCATAATTATAGCATTAGTCTCCGATGGCCTACCATAGAAATTCTGGACTCATTTCCGTCTGCAGTCAATGATTTGCAATGCTCCAGGCGTCTTTATGTCAATACTTCTCATACGCAATATTTCAGAACGACCATGTTCCGATCAATTACGGTGCAGACCTGGTAAGGAGGACTCAACGGACACCCAAGAAATGGTCCTTCTTATCAGAAATCCCTCTTAACCAGATATGAATTCAAGTAAGAAAAATTTCCGGGAATAAACCAATTGTTCTTCACAACAGAAATTCGACGCATTCTAGAACGCCTTAACCGGTCTGCAATGTATATTCATCTTGTGCTTCTTAATTTATTCTGAAACAAGAAACTGGCGATGCGTTTCTTGTTATCAGCTTAAATTATTGCTTCTCTCAACTCCTTGCAATCCATCTAGTGGTTACATCAAACAACTCAGCCACAATACTTAACTCTTGCTGTCCCATAACGCTATTATGTTCTCCTAAGACATTGACCACTTAACTCTCTCAGCACTAATAAGGTCACTAACAACACAAAAAGAGACAGGGGTACGAATACCAGCATTAGAGAGAAAGTTGGAATAAGATCATGTCTGGATTATACTGACAGATAAAGAATGAAATGGTTCAGCCATCTAGTAAGAATGCAGCCAAACTGCATGTGAGACTTATTGAAGCAGAACCTCTGAGCGGAAGACCAAGAAAGAGATGGAAAAATGAAGTAGCTGAAACCTACAGAAAAGATGAACAAATCCGTCATCCAAGCCACCAAAAAAAAGCGCAAGACAAATACAGAAAACCACGATGCTATTCTACAACCTGGTATCTGTGAGACGTCAAAAGAAAAAGAAAGAAGTACTAAGCAACTTAAGACACGTTGATTGATTTTGCATTTCGGAATCCTCCTTGTTTTATTAACTCAGGCTAACCAATAAATATCTTTATCGCTTATAAATTATCTTTCTATTCATCAGGTAAAAGTAACGAACTCCCCCCCCCCCCCACATTCTAGCGTACTGGGCATATAGGGCTAGACTTATAATTTATAGACCAATCGGCAAATCAGAAGGTGATGGGGTCAACATCACCCCGGCCGCCTTTACTTCCCATGACTTTACCTGGTACCAATGTAAGACTGGGTCGACCTGGGAGCCAAAGTCATTTTTGGGGGAAGGGAAAAAAAAGGGGAGGGTTCCGTTAGGACCCGAACCCACGACCTTCGGATCGGTAGGCTAGCGTCTACCCGCCACACCACGGCTGCTTGCATTGCAAACAAACTCCAGCATTTTCATTAAGCCCAGGGTTTTCTTCTGGCCGAACCGAACAATACACAGTACCGGCACCTTTTTTTTTCTGCATCAATTTTTTTAAGCACTCATGTTATAGACACTTTCTGGTGAGTAACGGCCTCTTGTTTTACATTTATAGTGAGCATCGGCCCGTTGCCAGACACCTTTTTGGTAAGTACCGGCCCGTTGCCAGACACTTTTTTGGTAAGTACCGGCCCGTTGTCAGACACTTTTTTGGTAAGTACCGGCCTGTTGCCAGACACTTTTTTTTTTAGTAAGTACCGGCCCGTTGTCAGACACTGTTTTAGTAAGTACCGGCCCGTTGTCAGACACTTTTTTTGGTAAGTACCGGCCCGTTGTCAGACACTTTTTTGGTAAGTACCGGCCTGTTGTCAGACACTTTTTTTTTTGGTAAGTACCGGCCCGTTGTCAGACACTGTTTTAGTAAGTACCGGTCCGTTGTCAGACATTGTTTTAGTAAGTACCGGCCCGTTGTCAGACACTTTTTTAGTAAGTACCGGCCCGTTGTCAGACACTTTTTGGTGAGTACCAGTCCCTTTTAGAAATGTGTAGTTAATACCGACCCCTTAATTTCTAGAGAAAGAAACAAATCTCTGCTGAAAACGTATTATTGTTTCTCCAAAATACACACACTGTGGGAAATAAAGTGATGTGTCGCCGATCGCTTGGGGTCGAAAAGGCTAAAGAGAAAAGAAATTGTAGAATAAAACGAAATAAACACTTGCCAAGGCACCTAAACCTGGGATGGGGGGGGGGGGGGTGTTCAGGTTCCTTGGACACCACCCCCCCCCTCCCCGCCCCGCAACAAGAAAATTAGGCTGGGGAAAAGGGGGGGAGGGGCTGACCCCAGTCGTCTCAATTTCTATGCGGCCTCTTTAACTATGTATACAAGAAAATCAGCTCAATAAGTATGCTTTAATGCAATTCCTTTTTTTTTTTTTTTTTTTTTTTGCCAGTTCATTGTAAATAAGCTTTTAAACTACGATTAATTCACCCCCCCCCCCCCCAATGTTTTACTGGTGTTTAAAGCAGACGTGCACTGTAATGTATTCCCTTTGCGTCTATATCCGCATAGTGACAGTACTCAACAGAAGGACATCGGAGTGGAAAGAAATATGGGTAGGCAGGTAGGCAGACAAGATTCAGGTTTAGACGCCGGATCAACATAATGGCACAAGGGTAGCAACCCATAAGTGCTCCACAGGCAGACTGGCGAGGTTCAGGTTTAGACGCCGGATCAACATAATGGCACAAGGGTAGCAGCCCATAAGTGCTCCACAGGCAAACAGACAAGGTTCGGATTTAGACCACTGATCAACATCATGGCACAAGGGTAGCAACCCATAAGTGCTCGAAGGCAGACAGACAAGGTTCGGATTTAGACGCCGGATCAACATAATGGCACAAGGGTAGCAACCCATAAGTGCTCCACAGGCAGACTGACGAGGTTCAGGTTTAGACGCCGGATCAACATCATGGCACAAGGGTAGCGACCCATAAGTGCTCCGCACGAAGACAGACAAGATTCAGGTTTAGACGACTGATCAACATCATGGCACAAGGGTAGCAACCCATAAGTGCTCCACAGGCAAACAGACAAGGTTCGGATTTAGACCACTGATCAACATCATGGCACAAGGGTAGCAACCCATAAGTGCTCGAAGGCAGACAGACAAGGTTCGGATTTAGACGCCGGATCAACATAATGGCACAAGGGTAGCAACCCATAAGTGCTCCACAGGCAGACTGACGAGGTTCAGGTTTAGACGCCGGATCAACATCATGGCACAAGGGTAGCGACCCATAAGTGCTCCGCACGAAGACAGACAAGATTCAGGTTTAGACGACTGATCAACATCATGGCACAAGGGTAACGACCCATAAGTGCTCCGCACGAAGACAGACAAGATTCAGGTTTAGACCACTGATCAACATCATGGCACAAGGGTAGCAACCCATAAGTGCCCCGCACGCAGAGAGACAAAGTTCAGGTTTAGACGACGCATCAACATCATGGCACAAGGGTAGCAACCCATAAGTGCTCCGCAGGCGAACAGACATGCATGCGTATTTGCAGAAAATTCTCTTCGGAATCCAAGAGTCGGATTTACTATTAATATTTTTATCGCAACATGCTCTTTTTCAATAATACATCTCCGCTGACATATTGACTTGAAGAGTCATGGACATAAACACCAAAATCTCTCAGCGTTGCTCTTAAACGGTGATTGCACCGATCCGATTTAGGTTATAATTGTGACTAGGTTGTGTGCGCCATATAAAAATGGCTTATCATTGCACGCCA